TAACCATTACTTTAGTAAAATTTTAGCTACGGAAGTATTTCCTAAGGATGTCCGAAACACATAAAGAAAGGAACATGCGGACGGAACAAATTAAGAAACAAAAGGAAGTGTGCCCATCCTCACCGGAACAAGCATAAGTTTATGTTTGTTACAGATTAAAAATATGAAACTCTATCCAACTCTATTCTAATACATAGCTTAACCCTTTCTTCGTTTGCGGAAGCTTTATCTATAAAAGTCTATTTTTACTAGCGTAGAATTGATCTATATAATTTCCATCGAATAAAATGAAATATAAGCAACAACTGTTACTTAGTTATGTAATAAAATCAAGGAATAAATAATAAAAACAGGATAAAGTCAGTTGTCGCTGAATCCCAAATAAAACGAAATTTAACTACAATAAAAAATTGGTAAAGTTGGGGTTTTCAGGGATTTCTTCGTAATTAAATTGTTTAAAATGTCGTGAGACATTATTATAACTAATTCTTTAACGGCTATTACTTACGTCTTTTTTTCCGGTGGCGGCACCGACTAGTTTCTGACCCATCGGGGTTCCATCTTCATAATCTTTCATCGCGTTTTTTTGTAATATTTAGTGTTTCAAATATTTTCTCTTATATCTAGCCTAGAATTCCCATGCGCTAATTTCTAAACATTAACAAAATATTTATGACTGTTGTCCTTAATACCGAATTAGAGTTATAAATTACAATTTATCTTAAGTATGACCATCATTAGGATCTTTTAAGATAATGCCGGCAACCAATTAGTTTAAAGTTAACTGTGTAATTAATACTATTGTTGAGAACATATTTCTTTACACTAGTTTATTGTCGAGGTTTGAAGACAATATGTGTACGAGGAAACACATTTATCTTTTACAGATATGAGATTATTGGAAATCGATTTGACAAAAAAAATATATTTCAACTTCTAATATATCACTAGCCCGGAGGATAAATTATAACCCCCAAATAAGGTAAAATATTTTCACAATGTGGTCAATGACACATATTATAGTTACAGTAATAAAACATATAAATATTGTAGGCAGATCTATGCCGTCTAACTATAATTCTACGCAGCATACTCTTTTCACATCCCTTACTATTCTAAAGAGAAATGTCTCCCACCTATGAAATAAAAACATTTGCTAAACTTCCACTTGTTTAAAGAAAAGCTGCCTTATTCGCTTCTTAATTCATCTAAGTTTAAGTACTTAATCAAACATTCGATGAAAACAATTTCACCAACGGTTGCCTCGCAAAGTGCACCGGAAAGCGCGTGCCATTACAAAATTCATTCCAGATAAGTATTGACATAAATTTAATATCGCCCTGTCTACAGTTCATAGAACTTGAATTACTCGCGTATAGTTACATGTATATTATGTAGTTGTTTACATGTGTCCGAGACGAGAGTGAGTCAATCTAGAAAGTCATTACGTTATCACGCAGGGAGTTGAAGAGAAATGTATGCAAGCCCGCAACGCCGACGACCCGATGCCTCTTATCAGGCGCATTGTCCCTGCGTGCCCAAGAGATGTTTATTGATTACAATTCTTGAACTTTGTGCACCTAAACATTTGTCAAACCAGTTTATTAGGCTAAAAATAACATGGATTCCAGCTTTGATCTAAACTGATGCAACTATTCAATTCGCAAATAGAAAGTACTGATTCGTTCTTGTTATGTTAGCTGTTGATGATTATTTGCTTAGATATGTGTCGAGTACAATAGAGATAATCCTTCAAAAAGCACCAATAGCCAATTGATTAAGGAAACGGATATCAACCAAGCGGTCGTGGGTTCGAGACCCGCTATTTAAATAATGTTATGAACGATCCCAAGTAACTACATGATTAGAACTCTGGTATCTGCTAATGTTATAAAATATTTATATTAGTTACTCTAAATATCTGCAGTGTCCATCTCGACGTACTTCGCCGCTGTCCCCGGCGAAATTCGATTTATCGTCGGACACAACGCGATCCGTTGTGTGGTTCCGCCTCTTTGGCCGCAAGATGGCGTCTGTCAGGGCTATCAACATGCGATATCGCGCTTCTACCAGCACTAACGAACTCGTCCTGCTACCGCCGTCTCATTGACAGTCGATCATATTGATATATCATTGAAATGCTATTAAACTGTGCGAATAAACCAACATGGGCTACTTTCACATTTTATGCTCTTCCTGATAAGTATTTTTCTCATACTTAGGTATATTAATTTTCCAATACACATTTTACAGTACTCGTACAGAATGATGTCTAATTAAAAATAAAACAAATAACTTCGTTAGGGAGAAAGTAATAGAAGAAGAAAAGAAACAATATGTCTAGAAAGAAGAATTTCACCAAGATGTAGTATTCTTAAAACTTTTGTCTAATATATCATTCTTAAAGAGCAAAATTAAATTAATCTTTTAATCAAACTTTACGTTGATAGCCCTAGGGAGCAGGGGCCTGCAAATTAGTAGAGAAGATCGAGTACAAGAGGTGTCGGATTACGGGCGTCCGACGCGGCCCTTGGCCCGCGCCTTCACTACACCGACCACTAATTCACCAACACACTATATTTTCTGCTTTCAATTGCAGTACTTGAAATGCACGTTGTATAAATTATACGACCTTTTGTCTGGATTCGGAGATCGGTATCATTATTTTATTTGATGATGCGAATCTCTTATTCTCTTTTTATAAAATGTTAAATCTCAACGAACACTTAAAAAATAATAATAGATTGTAATAAAAGCACAAGACCGTTCTGTCAACAGTCGTGGCATTTAATCTAGCTAGATGGACAAACCGAGTAGTATACAACGAGTCTATTGGACGTTTCTATTCAAGCTCTATCCATAGACAAAGCAAACAATGCTTTTTAATCATACCCTGCAAGTCCCTACTCTATGGTAGACAGCAATATGAATTGTATTAGAAATACTTTAAAAAAACCTAAAGTAGACAATATTTTTAACTTTGTTCGAGCAAATACAACTTCAATTTCAGCCTTGAATTCCATTACTTCTTACATTTTCCGTATCAGAAATAAGGAAAAAAACACCAATTGTTATCAACGCACTTAGCGGGAATTCCTCCACCGAAATTTACTCAGCGAGCTTTTAACACATTGAGGTCAATGCTATAGATACGTATGGTACATTTTGAATAAGCTTTGAAGACCTATCCTGATACGATAGAAAGAATTACGCCTAAAACCATAAGAAAAAATGTTCAAAAACTCATCGTCTTTCAGCGTTTGTTCAAAATTCAAACGATGTAGTACTCGTCATATCATACACAGCTTATTTCAAACGACATAGTCTTCATAGTACTAAGTAAAGAAAAATAATGCTTAATGTAAAATCCATAAAAAATTCTTTTACCGTAACCTTTAATTAAAATTGCCAGAATACCAACAAGGAAATCATGATGAATGTTCGAATTCGAATTGAAATCTTTTGAGAGATCAGCGAAGTGAAATTAAATTTCGTCTTATTGAATAAGTACAGACAGATATCAAGTGTTTATCGATGTAAAGCGAGGGACAGGCTCTGCCGATGTAGAGAGGGAGTGCATTTTATAATGCAGTTTCTTGTTCGCTCGATGGTAATTACGTTCGCTCATCTTCGGACTTCCATCGACACGGGCCACGGTGAATTAGCAAAAAATAATCATCAAAGTGCCGCCCGGCGATGTTTCGATCTCAGATCGAAAGATTGCGTACACCGCCGCGTAATTATATTAAACGTATGTTCAGTTCATGAGCTCAATGTACCCTAATATAGTCTTAAGTACGGACATTACGTCATTACAAAATAAATTACATATTCCTACTCTCTTATTCCTCGTAATACTACTTTTTTTTAGTTTAGTTAGATTTTTCTTGGGTACGACCAACAAAACTAAAAGCGATATTTGAGGGCGAAGTGAAGTAAAACAACCTCGAAAAATAGTATTCTAAAACCCAAATTGGCAACCCTATAAGTGCAAAGTAGCAAAAAATTAATAGCTTGTATGATTGTGCAGTTTATATGCTTTAGGTTACGGTGAGTTTTATATATGGTCATTGGTCATGTTTCAAAACTTATATGGACCTCACGCTGTAATAAAATACAGATTAAAAACTAAATATTTTATCGAAATGTTTGTGCAATACTAGTTCTTACGAGTAGTTTGTTTTATGATTATTTGCTGTCAATATTTGTACGATTTCCGATGTTTATTAAATGTTTTTACAATAATTTTCACGATTATGTTAATAAAATCGCTTTGGCGGCTTTTAGAAATGTTTTGTAACGGTTTATGACATAAAGGAGGAAAATCGAAAATGTATTATTGTATATTTTTGTTTATCAATGAACAGTATTCATTTTCGAATTAATGTACTTGTTTTACTCAAATTACTGTTTCCAAGAAGATACATAATTAGTTAGTAAATCGTCCAATACTAGATGTATTCATAAAACATTATGGTTAGATTTCGTACAAACGAATACCGAAAAGAGTATCAAGTATTTCGAGTAGCAGGTGGATTTTTTTCCTTTTATGTGTTCAAGTTAACGGACATGGCTAAAAATTGTACGATAACGTTAACAAACCAAACGGATGACTTCACTCGCGGCCGTCGAGGAGCATCTCCTTTGAAGTACGCAGCACAAAGCACACTGTTTATTGCCATTGTTGTGTTACGCCATGCACCTCTTACCGAACACCAGACACCAATGTACATAGAAGAATGGGTTAAAACAATTCAAATGGTAAATACCATAACGGTACTGACAGAGGCCTTGTTTGAATAATTTATTTAACAATGTTTTTTCTGTACTTTTGAAAACACAAAGTAGAACACTTCCGGAAGCTTCTTATAAATATTTGATTAGTTATGGTAGACGTCAGTAACTATTTTAGCATAGTATGTTTTCGTTACTTTTTAGTTTGAAAAATATTTTTAAAACGGCTGAGTGATGGATAACATAAACAAAATAAAACTAAATTGTCACTCTTGAACAATTTTCTTATTATTTAAATAAACTATAGCTTCTCTAGGCTTTAATAAAACAAAATACACAAGCAGGCACATATAACTAATTAACATGCTACCAAAGGCTACACATACCACGAAACTCTTCCACCAGCTATCGAGATAGTTGTCAATGGTCGCCCATAACGCGGTGAAAATGATGTTTTCAATAGTACATGTTAAGATCCACACCATATGCCACACTCTTACGTGCCGGAAACGTATCTTAAACTCCATTAAACAAAACAAATAAATAAAAGCAAGGAACACATAAAATGCTCGCTTCACTGTAGGCGCCTGGGGTACAATCAAAAACAGTAACGTTACTTGATAGTGAGAAAATAGGATTATGATAGCGACAAAAGGAAAGAAATTAATGAACGCAGCAATAGACAACAGTCGTGAAATGAAGAAGGCGTACCAGCCTAAATACTGCACGAGTCCAGCTGTCATGTCCTGAGGCTCGAGGCCCCGGACAAAGGATCGGGGCACACGACGAGGTATATCAGGCTCCGAATGAACTATTTCCCAATGCTTTCTTCTGGGAGGTGCTGACAACCAATTTGGTATATTTTCCGCGTTTTCAACAAACTTCTCGGCCCATTGCGCCAGTGAACCCGGTCTCGGTGCGTCCATTGCTGGTGGAGGTGGTACGTAAACTTTTTCAATAACATATTCCTTTGTTTGCCGTCGTGGGGCTACTCTGTCAATTATCGTGATTGGACGAACGTATTCATCGTCGCTTTCAAGATTATCATTATTGCGGTGTTCCGTCGGAGCTAAAAAGCTTGAACTAGAATCGGAATCAAACGCGCTATCGTTATAAAAGGAAGATGCCATCTCAGAATTTCGTGGTGAAAACTGAATTAAATCATCATTTGCCCCACTTCTGCTATTTCTGGATTTATCAGAAACGCTTGATTGCCTTTTAATAGTTTCGTAAATATGTTCTGATTCTTTATCTTCATTATATTCAGCAACTTCTTTTTCGATTACACATTTGTCTAGTTTTTCTTTGTCGTTCCATGGATATTTGCGTCCGCAAATTTTCTCTCTTTCAAATCTTCTGTAGAAAGTAGCGGTACTTGCCATTCTCATACACGACACAATAATGCTGATTGCTTGTAATGAACCTGACAAATGTAAAAAAAACGTGTTGTAGCGTACTAAAATATAAATAAACTTTTCAGGTACGGAAATAAAGGCGGTATAAGTAATATGCGATGAGTAAAGGGTATTTTCATTTCGTTTACCTTTGTCGAAACTTGGGTTTGAAAATCGCCACATAAGGTCTAAAATGTTGACAATCGCGTGTGGTGCGGAATGTATAAAAGCTTGCAAGAACAAGTATAGCTCCAGTGGTGAAGCAGCTCTTGCTAAGGCCAATGCTTCCTCAGTCCGCTCCTTGTCATTTGAATGCGATGCGAACACAGCCTCCGTCCACCAGAAAATTTGGTAACAGTATCTAAAATAAAAACATTAGAACATTTCTCGTAATTGTATTTACTTAAGACAATAAATTTCTATTATCGTTGATGTTAAAACATAGGTAATACTAACCTACCAATAGCTGCAATAGGAAAAAATATAGCATTTACAATTTGCATTACAACCCATTTGATATCATTTTTTTCTACTGTCACTGTATAAGCTGTTAATTCAGTTTGCAGCCCTGGAGGCGGCGATGCCAACGTAAAGATAAGAGAGAGTACAGCCGGGAACACCATCAGGACAATACAAAACACTGCAAGTCTGAAATATGTGCAAAATTTAGTATGTGATCTTCAGAATAGGTTAAGTTCAAGGGTTGGCCTTTGTCACAATGCCAGAAGAATATATATTTTATAACTTAGTAGAAATTAAGATACAGCTTACCCGTTATCACCATTTCGAAAATGTTCATAAATAAGTGTTATATCGTAACAAACAACTGTCAAGTAAACAATAAGCCCTCCACACGACGGCAAGACACGGTGTAAAAACAGTGCCTGCCATGTTGGTAACTTCAAGCCTAATATCTCTCCTGAAACTTCTTTGTCCAACTCACAAACTACCATTTTCACTACAAACACTACAGTTCGTTACAAACATTATATTTCAATAGAAAACAGGAACTTTTAAAAATCTTTCGCAGTTTATCAACCACTAAAAATGTAAACCTTAAAATGTTACTTTTAACGTAAATGTACTCTATTAAATGTATTCTTGGACGATCTTACAATGTTGAAAATCGTGAATAAAACAAAACTTAGCAATGTTTTCCCCACGCCCATTGATAATTTCCGATTAGATAAAACTCTTTTGACTCAGAATGATAACAACGATGGCACACTTTTATTTTGAACAATTCCAATAGATCTGTTTTCTTTCTCTGTACTACTGAATTTCAGCATTTGAATTCCATTGATGTTGAATTTTATCATGCTAAATATACTGCAATGTCAATCATTTGCTAGAAACGATAAAAGTAAAGTAAACTAGTTATATTATATATATTATATATATTAATTATCCCACCTTTCATAAATTAAAATTTATTCATTTTAATTTATGAAAGGTGGGATAATTAACCAACCTGGCAAAGTTAACTACGAGTAAAAAACTTGTAAAGAACTTCATACCTAACGTATTTTTTTATATTATAAGGTGGCAAACGAGCAAGCGGCCATCTGAATCCGCCAAAATGGCGAAGCAACCGCTGCTTATAGACATTCGCAATAGCGGATGCGTTGGCTACCCTTAATCGCTGGAGGAGAAGACGCACGTAAAGAGAATGTTTCTTGTTCCTATGCGTCTCCTCCGCCGTTAAACCCACGACCCCTTTCCACCCTATTCTTATGAGAAAAAGGGTAGGAAGAAGGGACTAAAGTTGGGCCTCCGGCCCCACACTCATCAAATAAAATGCGGTATTTCTTCCACTTCAAGCCTGTCTTCCGTGTGGTCGAGCCGACACATTCGTGTGAAGATGTTAAAGCAGGCTCTACCACTGTAAAAATTTGTGTATCCTAACAATTCATGGATTACAGTTTTGACTTATGTTGGATTACATTATGGTGAATGTATTTGGTAAACCCCAAATATACCTTTTTTAACATCTTATAACTTAAATTACTACAGCAATTACATTGAAACAAATTATGATATTGTAGGTCACCCTTTAAGATGTAACTCTTTTGGCTGGAAACTGTTATTTCCTTTTTCTACTGTCAAGATGTCACTGTCAAATGTCAACTTGTCAAAATTCAAATTTTATAACCTATACAAGCAAAATAAATAATGTTAAAACATTATTTGTAGTAGAAAACAGCACTTAAAACGAAATGTTTAAAACAATTTTAACATCTACGGTATCTAATTTTTATAAATCCAGTACTAGTTTAAGATGTAAATATGATATAAGATACCAACGATATATACATCGAACGGTTGTGTTTCTAAACCCAAGAAATGTATCAAAAGACAAATCCTTCCCTTCAGCTATGTCGCGAAAATACGAAGTCCTCGATGAAACAAGTTTACCTATAATAGAACACACTGCAGATGAAATTCACATGGATGAAAAATATCCAATTCTTAGTGATGAGTTTGATGGAATAAATCTCGCAAGTGAGTATTTTTTTTTTAAGACATATCTTGCTAGTAACAAATTGTATAATATAATTCAACATTTAAAACCTTGTGCATTGAAATTTAAGTATGTATCATTGTAAAATTTGCATTTCTACTGAATTATGAAATATAGGTAATTGTAGAATTGACAAAAGTAAACAAGCTTCCGGACATTATATCAATTTTTTAAAATGCTGATTTAGGAGTAAAATTGTTCTTAGTTTAGCCATAGACATGTATATATTGTTGCTTGATGATATACAAAATTCAATTGTATTTCTTTCAATTCAGGAGGAAAAAATGGAGTGTTTGAAATTGAGGATCTTGTTGAGCTGTTACAGCGAGAGAATTCCAAAAACATTTTTGTGGCATCAGTACCAAAGGAGATTAATTATGTGGAATACATATGTGTTGTCAGTGGCCGCAGTAAGAGACATTTAAAAGCTTTAGCAGAGTTTGTACGGAAGGTTTATAAGAAAAAATGTTACAAATCAGATCAGATACCAAGGATAGAAGGAAAGGATTCAGATGACTGGATTGCATTAGATTTAGGTAGGTTTCAGTTTGCTACTCCCTGAGTAATTTATAATTTTAAAAACTGGAATATTCTCTATGATGTGAAAAGGAACCTTCTCTAAGTTAAAAAAAAATTAGCTAGTTCAATTTTACAACCAATAAGATAGAACAGCTTTAAAAATTTTGTTCATTGAAAACTGGTATACACCAAATATTACTATAAATACATGCAATTCTTTCTTAATATTGCACTTTTACAATGTTTCATTGCTTTTTTCCCAGGTAACATTGCTCTTCATATCTTCTCCGATAAAGCTAGAGAAGTCTACGACTTGGAAACTCTATGGGCAGTAGGACCAGAGTATGATGAGAAAATGACACAGAAGAGTGACATTGTAGATATATTTGAAAACTACAGTTCATATTTGAAAGATTTAAAACCTCTAGAATGAATTGTTCCCTAACATTTATTCAAAGTAACTTTGTAATATAACTAAAATAGATAATATTTAGATTTTTAAGACATAAATCTATTGTACGAAATTTAAAAAAATAAACCAATGGATACAATATTTTGTTTTAATGCCTAAACTGTACAATTTGTGTTTCTACATTTTTCTTAATTTATAACAGTCTTGAATTAAAAACCAATTAAAGACGCCACTCTAAAAGGAGGCTACGATTTCATCATTGGCAATCTATTATTGACTGAACAAGTTCAGCAAAATCTTTCAATAGAATGTAGAAGCAATATTCTTGTGCTAATATTAACCAATCAAATGTGAACCGAGCTTAAATCCGCTTCTATGGATGTTATTCAAACTGTAAAGACGTAATTTATACCACAAATAAATATTTGTCCTGAAAACATCTTGTTTAATCAAGATTTAAACTATATTAGCATAGAGGCCGGACAACGGACTTTGGAGAAATGTAAATATTATTTTAAGCCACTGAGAATTTAAAATATTAGTACTTGTTCTTTCTCTATTACTCTACTCTATATAAGCTGTATCTGATGATTACTGGTTATTTATAGTTAGCCTTCATTAAGAGTAACATGTACTCAATGTACAAAATTTGCTGACGCATGTGGGAATTTCATTAAAACACAGTATGAAAGTCTCATATAAAATGTTTATTTCACTTAATTTATATTAATCATACATAAAATATTGGTTGTATAACATAATCTAGATAGTTATGAATTATTTAATCAATTCCTATTTTAAAAGAACATAAATGTTAACATTATATTGAGAATATAATTATATATCAAATGTACAATTTAATTAATTGAAACATGTTTGACTATCAAGTTACATGATTTTAAATTTACAAATTAATTTGGCATAATTTCATATACACACTATCTCAGATGTCTAAATGCAATAAAATATAAAATAAAAAAGACAATACATTCATACCACAATCACAAACTTTCAGTCACATCGCAAATGCACAAACTTACTCTAACTTTAAACTAAGCTGTTTAGTTTTGAAAGCCAATACTTCTAGTGTCAAAATATAAAATGATAAAAAATAGGAGCTGATATTGGATAAAGAAATTTGTTAATAGTAAGTAGAAAAACTGCAATTATCAGTATTATAGAAAAATTATTGGACCACATTACAAGTCTTTCCATCTTAACTATCCCATTTAATATTGTATGACCACAAATTACAACTGTTACAGTATTATGTATTTAGCATTTGTGCATTTTACTAAGAAATGGAAATTAAAAAATTTCCAAACACTTTTAAGAAATTCTTTACAAAATTTTATACCTAATAATTATTAGCATTTTCATGCACAAATACTAAAGCAATGTGCCAATTAGTTGTATAAAAAAATTATGCAAAACTTTCTAAATACCTATTGGTATGCGATTTTTAATTTTGATACAAAATTTTGGCTCATGACTATGTTTTAAGACAATATGGCCACACTACGTCTCACACCAGCACCTGAATTGACATTATCCAAGCTGGACCACTTTTTAATACCATTCTTTACAATTTCAGCAGATATCTTATCTTCCATTACTCGGGACATGGCTTCTAGTTTTTGTGCTCTCTCCTTACTTAGTGGCTCACTGGGAAAAGCTAAGTCATTAGCTTCAGCAAGTGTGCGCAGATCAAAGTAGTACTTGGCATAAACACTAGAGGGCACATTGATGTTGAACTGCAACATCTCTAGAAACTGTCTTTCCAGCTCATTCATATCCTCAACAGTGATGTCTTTGAGAATTTGACAGTAGTCCACATTCCAAACGGCTTGATCATCCCAAACCTTACTTGCTAATAATATTGCACCCAGAACTATTCTCTTCCAATTAGAAGGAGCAATATCTAAATCAGCACATATAAGAAGTCTTTCTAAGTACACCAATGTAATAATAGCACACTCTGCTGTTAACTGGGCAGCATTAAATAATGTTCTGACAAATTTATAAATTTGTTTATGCTCCGGGTTGTATCTGTCATAGTCATCGCATACCCCTTCTTTACTAAGAGGATGTAACTTTTCATCGAAAATGTCTAATCTGCGCTCAGATGTTCGATTTTTTATGTGGTAATAAATAGCCAGTGCTACACATTTAACAGTGTTTTTCAAGTTTGGCTGGGAGACTGTGCTATCATCTAAGTAAATCGTAGAGCAGGAACTACTTTTTTTCAACTTATTGTCAGCTATTTGATGTTGGCTACGCTTTCTAGTCATTCCATTCTCAATTGAAGCTTTGGATCTTTCCATAAATATAGTACCTGCTATAGGGTCCTGGGAAGGATCAATATCTCCATCATCTGGTTCTCTTTCACTTATATGTTGTATGTTATTCGAACTTAAGTCTCCTTCTTGGGGATATTCCTCTAGCTTTACGATGTCCTTCCTAATTGGAGACGGGCTGCGATAACAGCAGCAACTGTTTTGGTTTCCCATGTTATAAGTTAATACAGACCTTTAAATAAAACTAGTTATCATTCTGCAAATTCTAACACACTTTTAGTCACGCATAAATAAAGTGCCGATCCGCAAAGGTGACATATAAGGCCCATAATATCTGAAACAAAAGTCATGAATATTCCATTACAAAATTAGTATGATATAAAATCTATTCGTGATAATAGCACTAACAAATGTTGTACCTTTATCATTCTGCAATTATATTTCCTAATTAAACATTCTTATAACTTATAAATGAAGAACAACCTTAAACAGAATTCATTTTTAACTTTGACAGAAGCAAAGCAAGCAAGCGAACGTCATTTTGAAACTGAATAAAGATAATTTAAAAGAAAAATCATAGATTAAATGTACCGAATTTTAATCAAACCTGTGACTTCTTTGCTTGGAAAACTTTAGATCTTGCTTCTAAAAATATAGAAAGAAATTGTAATAAGCAAAATAAAGCACGAAAACATAATAAGTACGGGACGGGATGATTACTTTTTTTAATTAAACAGCGAATAATAAATTTTGCATTTGAAATATTCATATCTTTTTATAAGCAGACGGCACTGGAGATTATATGTAATGCATTATAATCAAGAGAAATGCGAACAAAATGTTGCTTTTACTTCGTTATGTTAAAAAAAAAACAATAGTTAAACTTAATCGAATCGTTAATCATGTATCTGTTGAATTCCGCTACTCTGTAGTTAAAAACAACAATTCAACATGGCCGAAAATAAGCTTGTGCTTCTGTTTTTTTGCGCAATCTAATTTCGTAAAGCGATTTATATTACGTCAAATTACTTATTTAAAGTGGTAAGTTGTTATTATTAAGTTACAATGTTATTCATTGACGTAGAAAAGTAAATACATTTAATTGTTATAGGTAAAAATGCGCCGTAAAAGAGAAAGAAGTGCCACTGCGAAATCTAAAGCATCGCCGGAAAAGAAGATAGAGAAGGTTAGGCGCACGAGAGGCAGGCGCAGAAAGCAATCTACATCCTCTGGAAATGACTCTAGTGAGGAAACTATTGCCGCGTTGGTACCAGAAAAGGTAATTGAACCCGCTCAAAGCGAGGAGCCACCAAATAAAGAAGAAAGTCCACAAGAGACACAAGATCAAGTGTGGCAAGTTAAAACTACTGAAGGATCTGGTGATGGAGGTGAAATACAAAAATTAAAAATTTGCTTAAAACGTCCTCCTTCAACTCCAGAGGCGGGAGATAGGTCTCCGCGAAGTAAGAGGAAACATACTAGAGCTACTAGTTCTAGTGATTCAACGATTGTTGACACACCAGATGAGAAAAAGAAGACTAGATACCGCACGAGGCGCTCAGCATGCGATTCAAGTGAAACCTCTGAAAAAGGTAATGATTCAGAAATGAATGTACAGAAAGAAAGTGTAGTTGTAGACAGTGATGCTGCCAAAAAAACAGAGGAACCAGAAAAAGAACAAGATGTACAAACTGAATCTACTTTAGTAACTATTGTATTAGAAGATGATTCCGAGTCTAAAGACGCTCCAACTGAATCAAGTGAAATCATATCTGAAGTTAGTAAATCTGAAATGAGTGATGAGGTAACAATTGTATTAGATGAGGCTGAGAAGGAAGAAAATGATGTTAAAACCAAAGATTCAGTAACATCAGAGGTGTCACAGGAGCCAACTTCTAGTGAACTGACAACTGAAACAGTGGAAGTAAAACAAACTTTGACTGAGGTAGAAATAGACTCAAGTGCTGTAAAGGAAGACTCAAGTGAAGACAAAGAAGTGGTTCCTCAGGTAAAAGAAAGTTTGAGTAAGGTACAGAATGAGTCAACAACTGGCGAAATTGTACAAAGTGTAGTTTGCTCAAAAATAGCTGATACTTCCATGTCGGAAACATGCAGCTCTACAGTAGATGAAGTTCATGTAGAGAGCAAACCATCTGACAATGATTCGGATGTAGATTGCAAGCCATCTGACAAAATTTCAGATGTGGAAAGTAAACCATCTGACAAAATTTCAGATGTGGAAAGTAAACCATCAGACAAAAATTCAGATGAAGAAAGTAAACCATCTGACAAAATTTCAGATGTAGAAAGTAAACCATCTGACAAAATTTCAGATGTAGAAAGTAAACCATCTGACAAAATTTTAGATGTAGAAAGTAGACCATCTGACAAAATGTTGGATTTAGAAAATAAACCATCTGACAAAATTTCAGATGTAGCAAATAAACCATCTGACAATATTTTAGATGTAGAAAGTAAACCATCTGATAATATTTCAAAAGAAAGTGACTCAAATAATGAAAGTATACAAGAAAAACATGATGACACAAGTAACCTAGAAAAGGATATAACGCAAGAAGGCAGTATGGCATTTGATAAATCAGATATACTTGAAATACATGCTGAAGAAAGTAAAGCTGATATTTCTGATGCAGAGATTACTGAGGCTCAGAATGATGTTCCTGAAAAACAACCAGAGCCAGCAATAAACCAGGAGTCGCAGGATAAGGTAAGTAAATCTGAAGATAAAGTGGTGGAAAGTGTTAAGGAAAATGGAGAGCCACCTCACAATGAAATAAAATTGTCAACTAATGAACCTGATGTTGTAGCACAAATGGATAATTTAGTTAAGGAAAGTTCATCTCAAGAACAAAGTGAAAATGCAGCTGTTCTGAAAAAAGTTCCCGAACGATCGGAATCTTCACAAGTGAATACTGAAGCAAGTACTAATTCAAATATTGTTATTAATAGAAAACGTAGGTGGGGTTCCCGTCCTAAATTGACTACGCAAAAGTCAATAACAATCTCTACAGATGTGCTTAAGGAAATAATACCAGACGTGAAGCCAGTGGAGTTTGAAGAGGTTATTGAAGAAAAGAAACAAAAGCGATTTGAGGTAGCAGAAAAGATAGAGAGACCAATATTGCCTAAAATTGTTATTGACAACACAGAAAACGTTGAGCTTAAAAGAAATCAAGAAAAAACTGAGGTTAACAAGCCAGTTAAAGAAATAAATAATTTAACTTCAAGTAGGAAGATCTCTATTGTCAAGGATTCTGAAAATGCTGCAGTGATAAGACCTCCGAGCCCCCCGAAACATAAACAGTCTAATATATTGTATATAACTAACTTGGTAAGGCCATTTACATTATCACAACTGAGGAATTTACTGCAAAGAACTGGACGGATAACTGAAAATGGTTTCTGGATTGATAAAATTAAATCAAAATGTTTTGTCATATATGAAAATGAAGAGTAAGTGTTGTTGAGTTCAGTGATTTTTTTTTTTCATTGTTTAAAGAATAAATTAATAACTATGTTTATTTTTTACAGTCAAGCAGTAGAAACAAGACATGCTCTTCATGGAGTGACATGGCCAGTGTCAAATCCTAAAACATTACATGTAGATTTTTCTACTCAGGAAGATTTTGACCAAGCAAAGAATAATGAAGAAAATGAGAACAACAAAGTGACAAGCATACCCGGCACAGTAGAGGATTGGCTGCGAGAACAAGATATGAAAAGAGAAAAGGGAGAATTGGTATGTAAAATACTTGTCATATCTTTTCTAGTGTGTTATTATGTTACTTTATAGAATGTAATATTGCTTTATAGCAATCTTTATTTATCTAAAAGTCATAATTTTATTACTGTTTCAGGAAAGGCCATGGGAGCGTAAGACTACGCGCGAATGGGATCTAGGCAAAAATGACAAAAACAAGGATAAAGACAAAGATAGGTTACAAAAAGACGAACGGCTTCTGGAAAAAAGAAGACATCATACACCTGAAAGGAGTCCTGAACCAGGTATTCAAATTTTTTACACAGTACATTATAATTATAATTATAAAATGTACCAGAAGATTTACATTATTTATTTATTAAATTTTAGCAAAGAAATTTAAGAAGAAAGAGGAAGCACCCGCAAAACTATTGGATGATCTATTCAAAAAGACTAAAACCACTCCATGCATTTACTGGTTGCCTCTGTCGGCTGAAACGGTAAGCTAAGGCTATATGAAAGGAGATTAGATTTATTTTTTTTTATCAACTGTTTTAAGTAATATATATTTTTAATGTTTTCAGATTGCAATAAAGGAGGAGCAAAGACGTCAGCATATGGCCGAGCACGAAAGGCGGCTGCAGGAACTGCGCCGCGGCTCGCACCGCAGACATTAGCATGGTCCGTCCCACACTACACTCACAGGCACACTCACACCTAACACACAATTTTACACATTAACACACACTAACAATCATACATTTTTAATACTTTGTCATTTGTCAGTAATTTCTTTCAGAATTTTGCAGCGGTCAATTTTATGTCGAATTTTTGTTGGCTTCATAAATGAGTATTTTGTTTATAATTTATGTAATAAGCTTAGGTTTAAAGAATATTGACGACCCTTAAAGGACGATAATGTCAAGAGAACGGTTGGATTTATTTTACACAAAATGTTATAGAAAGGCAAGATTGGAGGAAATCCAATGATTTTGATCGTCGTCCCGCGAACGAGGTCGCGCGGCGAGCGGGGGCTCGCTGCCATGAGATGTAACGGAATCGCACTGGAAGACAATCAATGTGTTGAAACCGACGTTTGTTAAATTTTGACCTCGTTCCAGTCATCAAGCAATCATATAACTTGCTACAAGTAACTGGTTGCATCGGTTTGTTGCGAATCCTCACTGCGGAAACATCTGAAAAATTGATATTGAATGAAGATGCGGACATTGCAAAGTTTTCTTCGGCAGTTACGGTGAACCATGGAGACTATGGCGAATGTAAATTTAAGCAATATACCCAAATTAAACATTATGGAAGTCCCGATAATAGGAGAATATGAAAGGATTCATCATTTAGGAAGCACTAAATTGAAAATAGTTTTGTAGCCAGGATAGATCCTCGACTTTTATAAAGGTATGAGGGACAGTATTGTATGTGTTGTAAATCCATTCCTTTGGTTTTAATAAAGGATTTCCGACAAACGTTTCGTCGTTTTTATTTTTAATCTTACCTTATATATCTACAACGTTTACTACTTATAAAGGGAATAACCATGGCAATATTTTTATACGTGTTTATCTCTATCCATTATATTATTACTAAAAACCAGATAAAGATTTTTTTTATAACTTTTAAAGCTTAAAATTTTATCGTAAACTATGTCTATGGTAAACTACACTTAAACAAGAAATCAGGTTCAATATAAAAAGGCAAAAATAGGGGATTGAATCCTCTGAGTAGTAAAACATGGTCTAGTGATAAAAATATATGCACAGTAATTAGATAAATACAACAGTACGCAAATTATGAGATTAGGAACTTCAAGATATTGTTCTTACAAAAATGTAATAGGTAAATGATATAAATCGACCTATTAAAATGATTATAAAAATTCAACAATTATCATTATCAATAGATAGTAGGTTATCAGCGGGATAAGAGTAAGCACTTTTATGGTAGATTATTTGAGAACAGTCGCGTTGGCGGATCAAAACCGTCAACCGCTGTTTATTTAGATAGAAGAATTTTATATAATCAGAATGGTAAGTTAATGCAAATTGTTATTGTTAATCACTAATTTTCACATAGACTAAGAGCCAGGGAATAACGAACAATAGGTAATAATGCTTATAACTAAAATTGTTCAAACATGTAGGTACATGGTGCTGGGAAATATAAAAAAATGGTCTTATTGAAGATGGGGAAAATTAAGGGCATTGTAATTAGTCGTTCGTGGCTCAACATCCTACAGACTTTAGACGCCTCGATGTAAATCTAGCTTAATATTTTAGTTACGAGGTCCGTGGTTTGTTTGGGCTGTGTTGGTGGCATTCGCGGTAGCGCAGAGCCCATTTACTCTGGAAGAATTCGTAAGAGGCCAATTTGCGCAGAGGGCATTTAATGGAACATGGATTTCAGGTAATTGTTGCAACTATGAGCCGATACTTTTTCCATAATACAAGGTAGAGATTATTGTGAAATAATATGATTGAGTAGATGAGAAGTTAATGCAAATACATTATTAATTTGATTGAAACGGATTGATGATTGTATATAATTCCTATCTATTTTAGACACGGAGTTCACTTACACAATCTCAGGAGAGCCTGGTATATACGTATTTGACGTTACGACACTAAACCGAAGTGTTTTAGTGTCAGGAGAATTGATGGTACGAAGAACATAATTACATTAAGCTATGTTAGTCAATTATAATTCGTGCTCTTATTTATCGTAATATTTCAGGCTTTCCTGAACACCAGTAATCCTATATTATCCGCAGACAGACAATACATTTTAGCGCCTAGTGAAGTTCAATCTGTAAGTATATGTCTATTTAAAAATTTTCATTAACTGTATCTATATGTAATTAAGGCTTCATTCTACTAGGAACCTTTGTTTTATTGTGAATTATAAGCTGGTAGTCAATATTAATTTAAAACAATGCACAATAATCAACATATATGTTTTAAATTAAAAACATAATGTGTTAATGAGGTAACTATTTAGTGCAACGTGAAGTCTTAAAATGGGAATGTTACTTTAGTTTTTTCATACTTTAATTGATATTGATAGGAATGTAAGATATATACAAATTATACGAGGTTTAATTCATGTATAATAAATAGTTTTATCACGGTGTAGTAAAACATATAATGATAAAGTTATCTGTAAAATTATCTTAATCTATCTGTTGTATATTATGTAGCGGTATTCGTAATAATTAGGAATTGAAAATTTAGTTTAGTGATTATTTGTATTAGATTTTCAGCCACAATAAATGATATTATTTCACGAATGCTCCTTGAGACTAGTAAATTAAATTGATGGAAAATGTATAGGTAACTCCTATCACATTTTATATCAACAATAATATAATTAAATTCGATATTATATTTCGTTATCAGGTTTACAGATATTCCACAACAGCTCGTTTCGCCCTTTATGAAATAGCTACCGGGTAAGGCTTTTTTTATATCACACTAATATTATAAATGCGAAAGTTTAGATGGATGGATGGATGGATGTTTGTTAGAGTTTGTAGCCTAAACGGCTGAAAGGATTTCGATGAAATTTGGCGATGAATATACGTAAAGGTTAGTCTGGAAGAACACATAGACTACTCAGTTTTGTTTCCTTTAATTCCACGCAGACCGAGTCGCGGGCGAAAGTTACTAGTAGTAGATATAAAATATCTATAAATGCTAGGAAATTAGGGTATTGAGTATCTATGTATCTCCTCTCAATTGACCTTTTTTTTAGAAACGTAACATATATTGCAAACCATCAGCGTCTTCAGTTATGTATTTTCGGCGGTGGTCATTCTCTGGCCTATGTTTTGGACAATAACGTCTACTATCTCCCTGAGGATTCCGCACAAGCTATACAAATCACCAGTGACGGAATACCGGGAGTTATTTACAATGGCCACACTGATTGGGTATACGAAGGTAACGTAATATCCTCACTAAGTCATACATTATTTTATTTTGGCAATTATTGTATTTTTTGGTGATTTTTACAGAGGATGTGATGTATACTGGACAAGCGACGTGGTTCTCCACCGATGGCTCGTACTTGGCATTTGCCAGCTTTAATGACACTGAAGTCGAGGCATATTCGTATTATTACTTCGTAGATAAGACTGACCCTGATGATCTTTATCCAGAACTGTTTGATCTGAAGTACCCTAAGGTAACTAATATCTATTTTGTTTACTCCAAGGTTAAGTGTCAAAGTTTTTGCAGTCTTTTATCCGATCAAACTATGATCATTGTCAAAACATTTCCTGTTAAATAAGTGTCCTTTTTGTACATTACAACGTAGAGTCAAGAATTCAATTTTTTCAGGTTGGTCGTACTAACCCCACAGTTAACTTGCGTCTGGTGAATTTGACGGATCTCGTAATTACGAACCAAGTGCGTTGGGAGACCCTGTCCCCGCCGACTGCGGTCACGGAAGACCACATCCTGGGTGGCGTGCTGTGGCCCACAGCCAACGAAGTTGCTGCACACTGGCTTAACAGACGACAGAATTATACTGTGCTAAGGATTTGCAATGTTGATACTGGATTTTGTGAGGTATGTTCATCATTTTTTAAAGATTTTCAGGATGGATACATTTATTAATTGTGTTTGTTTTTATTCAGGAAGAACACCGTCAGCAGCCAAATGGTTGGGTTCCTATTGCATTGCCTCGCTTCAGTAGAAATGGTGATTTCTTCGTCTCCACTAGATGGTCCCTCGAGCAGGCGGATGGTAAAATATGGCAACACCTCTACGTGAGCATCCGCGTAAATGGACAGATCATATCCAGCTCTATTACTCCCGGTGGTTTTACTGTCAATAATTACGTTGGCATGGATGAGGATAATTTGTCCTAGTCAGTATGCAGATCTTTTTATTCCTTTTTTGATGATAGTACAAATCGTTAACTAACTTCTGTGTTTAGTTACTACACGCGCACGGTGGCCGGTGCACCGTGGCAATCGCAGGTGCACGTGTCGGGAGCGCGCGCTGAATGCCTCAGCTGCAACATTCAGCTGCCGGACGGCGGCCGCTGCACCTGGGCTACCGCCACCGCCAGCCGCGGCGGCTCCTACCTCACCATCACATGCTCCTCCACCAATGAACCCTCCGCCACATACATTGTTGACCCTTTGGTATGAATAATTCTCTTTCAACATTTCATCAATGCATATTTGGTCACGATAAGTGAACAATACTGGTTAACTGGATTATTCATGAAATTTCGGAATACACCTGTATTTTTTCACAGAATAATCGAGTGCTATTCACCTGGGAAGACAATGCTATAGTTCGCGAGCGTCTGACAGAAAAAATCCGACCGAATAGCATGATATTCACAGTGCCATTGGAAAATGGTTACCCTGCACCAGTTCGTCTCTGGCTACCTCCCGGCTTGGACATTAATGATACCAACACAACATACCCGATGATATATTACGTGTACTCTGGTCCTAACACAAATACTGTATTTGATACTTTCACTGTTGGTAAGTATGTTTCTTCTTTCATACTTGTTTAACGATTCAATTTTTTCTTAAATTGCGTGTTCTATTTTTTAGGTTACTTCTCGTATTTGACAACAAGCCGCAATACAATTTATATGTTGGCTGATGGCCGTGGCTCCGGTCTCAACGGCCAGGACATATTATACTCTCTCAACAACGCTTTGGGAACTGTTGAAGTTGAGGACCACTTTGTCATATTAAGGTATACTTTACTAGAATAAATTGATACGACTTTACCATTACGATTATCGTCCATACATAATCTAAGACAAGGTGAAATTAATTTAATATATTATTAATTGCTAGTACAGTATATTGTAAACGTTAAAACCGTTTATTATGCGGGTTATACGATTTTTTATGGTCATTGTTGAAACCATTAAGTATGTAGGTTAAAATAAAACAATAGCAATTATCGAAGAATAGTTTTATCATATCTTATGGGTATTAAATAGTTCATGATGGATGGTTTATTAGAATATATCTATAAACTCAACGGATGTCAATAGTTGGTAGGTGTAGAACAATGCCCATAAGAACATATAGGTAACTAAGAGTCTGGCCCACCACTGGCTGATAAAATCAGACAGCTTAAAAATGACGTCACTGGCAAGGTAACAAAATCCTGTATTTCCATCACATTTTACACGTTGGATTGTTATCACACAATTTACAAGTAGGACAGGCTCTAAGCATTCTTTAATTCGTCGCGAACGTAGTCGCGGGCAAAAGCTAGTTAAATGATTAAGTAGGAAATACGAATGTAGTTTGTTAGGTAATTATTCAATACGTATAGAGTGAATTTGATTGTAGACAAGTGCTCGACCGCTATGCGTTCATCGACCGGCAGCGCGTAGGCATCTGGGGCCACAGCTACGGCGGGTACGCCACGCTGCTCACGTTGGTGCATGATGATGACCATCTCTTCCAGTGCGGGGTCTCTACCGCCCCCGTCACCTCATGGCTCTATTACAGTAAGTACTAATTACACGAAAAAAACATTTATGTAAATGTAATAAACGTTAGTTTTGTCATGCGTCCTCTTTTGACATAAATTAACTGTTGTGGATGGATGGATGGATGAATGTTTGTTTTTACGTATCTCCAGAATAATGTAGAACATAGTCTGGAAGACACAGAATACTACTTAATTATTCCTTTAATTTCACACTGAAAAAGTCTCAGTCGATAGTTGGTTTGATAAAATAAAGAACATATTTTTAGATACGATGTACACGGAGCGTTACATGGGGCTACCGACAGCGGAGGATAACCTGTCAGGGTACGAGGCAGGGGACGTGACTTTACTGGCAGAGAAGCTGCGCGGACACGACTTCTACCTGATGCACGGCAATGCTGACGACAACGTGCACTACCAGAACGCGGCCAAGCTCATGCGGGCGCTGCAGGAACTCAACATACCCTTCGAGCAAATGGTTATTACTTTTATTATAGTATTAAAATGTTTGTGCTAAACATATAGGGGTATATCCATGGTAAATGGTCCATGGTAAAGAATAATTGATATGAAATACAATACATAACTAACAAAAATCGGACGCGATTAATTACGAAGTGGAAATTGGGGTTAAACAAAAATGTTATCGGGAATTGACACAACACTTTATTCTTATTACAGTCTCTTACATGGCTTGTCTTGTAGTAATCCATAGAGAAAATACTTTTACACACCAATTTTGACTTAGACTTGCTTCATTAGTAGTTAGTAGATCTTATTTCTTTTTATTGGCCGATTTTAAAGATTTTTTCAACATTAAAAAACCCATGTTACTCACTGATAACATAGCTTTAGTGGTGAAAGAACTTATGAAATCGGCCCAGTAGTTTTTGAGTTATTTCGGCACAAAATAACGTTAATTCGACAAAAATACAAATCTTTCGTCTCTATTACGTTATAGTAAATCACGCGTTTTATTTTGTAAATGATAGTTTTTAAAGTTTTACATTTTCCGTTACTAAAACCGTGTATCAGATTTTTAATCTCCACTGCCTTTCATCGTCCTCCTTCACCTATTTGCTGTAGTGTCTCAAGACGGCTCTCAAATTGGCTCTCGACGTGATCTTGTCTCGTCTTGGCACTGCACTTTATACACTAAAGTCCTATATACTAGCTATTGTCTATTTCGTCTGCATTAATAATTTTTTCTGGGTTTCAAGTAACAGTACTGTAGAGATAGGGAATCGTATAAATCTTTTTTTGTATTGAGTAAAATGAGAAGAAAAATCAACCGGAAATAGGGGTAAGGATGGAAATAGGACAGGAAAATCTTGTAGTATTATTAATAATATGTTTCCTATATACATTTATTTTGTGGTATAGCATTTATTTATCATGCTGAATATTTTGTATAGAAAATAAACTGACTTTTTAAATGAAGTACTAACAATTTGAAACATCAAGATCGATTTGTTTATCAGTCGAATAATTAGTACTCATTAGCAGCGAAATGGGTCTGTTTATTTAAAATGCGACATTTAAAATGTAATGAAATCTGTTAAATAGAGTATGCAGCAGTAAATCTATATACTAATATTATAAAGAGACAGATTTGTATTTTTGTATGTATTCGATTCACGTAAAAACTACTGGGCAGATTTCGAAAATTTTTTTAATATGATAAAGGTAATTTATCTGTGAGTAATCATACTTCATACTAATATTATAAATGCGAAAGTTTAGATGGATGGATGTTTGTTAAAGTTTGTAGCCTTAACGGTTGAACGGATCTCGGTGAAATTTGGCATAGACGTAGAGGATAGTCTGGAAGAACCATAGTCTTTTGTTTTATCTTTTTACTTCCATGCGGACGGAGACGGGGACGAAAACTAGTATAGGCTTTATTTATTAATTTCACGCAGGCAAAGTCACGAGCAATCACGTATAAATATTATTCGATAAGTTTCTAGGAGTCGCTCAAGCGATTTAGAAAATTATATTTACGCGTTTCAATGAGATAGTGTGATATTCTTTTCTTATAAATTCGAGATTTTAGTCACATATTTAATAATGACTAGATCTGAACTCAAGCATGCGTAAATCGCACGCGCGTGAAATTGTGAATGCATATAAAATTTTTAGTTTATACTTTTATATTTCATTTCTTTTCACTTGGAATGACTAAATTTGACAAAAAAATAAAATAAAAATGTCAAATCTACAACCACATTTTACGCTATGTCATTGAGTTAATGCCATTGGCGTTAAAACTGTTAATAATTTTTAATTTTTAACGATTTATGGTAACTAGTTTTAAATATCGCCGATTAAAAAAAAAGACGAATTTATGTAAGAAGGAAATGTCAACTAAATATTAATGTTGCTATACACAGCTAGTCTTGAAATTAGAATTTTAATTGAGATCATGAAAAGAGCATGGAGATGGTGAATTAATTTTTTTATTACAGTACAGTGATATGCACAATTTATAGCGGATCGAAATTTTGTATGAGACAGTGCAACAGAATTTTAGATAGCGGGAGGAAGAGATGCAATGCGTTTTTACAATTGACACTTATGCGTAGTATCCTCGAGCCTCTATAACGTTTGAATATTATAATAGTTTTAATTTAAAGCCAGGGAATTTATATATATTCTTTTCATTTAATATTAAATTTTTTTACAGTCTTATCCAGATGAAGCGCACAGTTTGGCCGGAGTGAATATGCATAGATACGGAACTATGAATCGTTATTGGGAGAAATGTATAGCTATGCCACAAGAGCAAAATTAATTTTTAACTTCATTAAGTTATTACTGTTTGTACAAATTAAGTTAATAAATAGATTTGCAGCTAAACTCATGATTGTGGAATTTATTTTGAAAGGCCCGAATATAGTGTGTTTCTGGCCTGCTAAAAGATAATTTGACCCAAAGATTTAAAAACTAGACCAACAGAGTATAAATGTTGTTTAATCAGCAGCTATAGACAGATGTAACCTACATATAAAAAAAAACCTTTTTAATCAAATAACCAGTTTGTTCACTGAAAATTTTATAACTGTACAAAAACTTGTTTTTCTCCGTGTTTGTGGTTGAATTTTAATTAATGTAATTTAATAACCAATTAAAATATTTTATACTATATTGACGTTTTATTTTGTAAACTCAATAATGAATTCTACAATAACAATGCGTATTTGGCGCTTTGTGTTCTACGTAGCGTTTCGAATTGTGTTAGCGGACCATGTTATTTACAGACGATTCAAATATTTAAATTCTCTACGTCTATGATACACAAACATTTTATTCATCACGTATCTCAAAGAGTGCCATGAGAAAATATATCAAAAAGTCCCCAGTAGATTTTTTATAAGGCATTGCTTAAGTAGCCCAAAAGATGTTAATGTAAGCCACTTAAAAAGTTTCTTTACCTGTAAAGGACAAAAGATCTAAAGTCAAGGCGCCTTTTGATTTTGTAAAGATTGTGAAAATGTTTGCAGTGATCTTGCCCGTTTTAAATGCCTTTTCTTTAAACAATTTAACTATTAAAATCGAATGATAAACTCCAAATTTAAAAATTACAGTTAAATTTTGAACAATTGAATACTTCAATTATTACAATAATATAACCAAGGAACACATCACTTATTTTAAAATTACATAATTGCTTTTATTAACATTACATAAGATTGTTTTCCTGTATATAAAATTATTTTATAAGGACCGGAACCTCAAACTGCTTCAAAAGTGAAAGGCGATATGAACGATTTCGATTATACAATAAGTCTGTATACAGTCTGTTGTAGATTGAACTGATACGTTGATAAAAATACATGTATATTTTTAAATGTATATAACCAATAACTTAAAAATATTAATTAAAAAAAAATTGGACTCAGGTTGATGAATGCTTGGACATAGAAAGAACATTTTTATCCAGTAGACGTCACAGATGTGCGAAAATATGAAAATACTTTATTGAGAATGTCTTCAAGATATTAGGCACACGAGATATTATAGTTGTAATGATTTATATGATAATATAATCAAGTCATTTATCTTAATTCGTATCCGGACTCAGGAACGTGACTTATCAATTAAGAATAACCAAACAAAGTCATTCGCACACGTTCCCAATTCAATGGGAATCTTGTATAAAAATAAAGTTTGGAATATGTGATGTATAAAAATATACAAGTATAAGATTTGCTTGACGAATTCTTTTTGTGTTTTTTGTATAAAATATTAGTACAGTTAGATGTTGCGATAAACTAAATAAGGTTATAATTATACATATTTTATTAATGCAAAATCCTCTTAAATGAAAAGTGTACGTAGTTATGTTACTTTTAACGTAAATTTTCTGAATCTTTGACCGACTTCCTAAAAGAAAGAAGTACTCGATTCGTCTGTATGTTTTTTTTATCACATTTTCAAGTCTCGTACGCATTCTGGCTGGTTAAATAGATTATATTTAAAAAAAAAAGTAGAGCAGTTAAATAAATTAACAAATTTCATGTAGTAAAAACTAACAACCCCATTATAATGATAAGGGTACATGACAACGTAAGTTACCTTAAACAATTTTCACCTGAGCTTGATTTGTCCAACTTGACAGTGGGTATTATTGCTTTTGTATTTTATTCACCTTTAAAAAATATAACATATATTATTTTTAAAGGTAATAGGTTGGATTGGTAATATATGTATGGGGTGGTAATTTAAGGTAAATAATGGTAGATTTCAATTTTATTAAATAATTTTTGAATAAGTGTAGGTTTTCTAAAACGCAAACTATAAACCGTGAATCTTATTTTGTAAGAAAAATTACAACATACCATAGATTAATAAATTTAATAAATGTCATTAATACCATAAATACTAATTTATTGTATCCTTTTTAAAATATATTCTCATAACCTGTATCAATCTCAAAAAATCCTGTTTTGTTCTTATTTCTTAATTAATTCAAAGACTATATAGATCATTTAAAAATGTTATAGGTCATCATGTTAATTAGCGGTACAAGTGATCTATATTTTTATAGAACCTGTCAAATTCCGATAAAAAAAAAGTGTTGAACTTGTTTCCCAGGCGACCTTGAAATTTGTATCGAAGCGGTGTTGGTGCTCGTCTGGTCGTTGGCACTGCTTAACTATGAAGTGAATACTGTGACGTAAGTAATGACGAGACTCGCGCCAGTTCGTGGTTATGTCAGCACGTGTTATACAACACCTTTCAAATGTTCGATTCACCATAATACTGCAATGTTCAAAGTGTGTATCCTAAAAATGTTATTATCACCTCATATATCTTTGTCTAATCCTCATCCAGACATAGAAGTTCAAGGACAGGAATCTTGTTAGCCTTGTGAGAGGACAAAGACCGCATCTACTATGTAACGTCTGTTAGTATCTAGAAAAATGTACCCATTACTTACGCGTTTAACGTAATCTATGGAACTCCCAGAAACTTGATTGAATAAAGACAAAATTTTCGACTGTTACTAAAACTCTTAGTATACAATGAAAAGGTTTTTATTACTATTATTGAGCAAAGACCTCGTTTCTAGACAAGTGGCTATTTCACATGTCCTTCAAACAATTTATTCTGACCCCTTAGTTTGATTCGCAGCCCAGATAATGAATATACGTCTATCACTAAGCGACCAGTTTGATATAAAATGACCCATCTATTTTTACTGATGTGATGCATGGGCAGTTTGTATGAAATTCAAAGGCAGGATGTCATGTCAGGTTGTAGACCTGAGGTTCGTGTTATATTATCTGTGTAGATGTTTGCTTGGCAAAGAAAGTTCATATGCTGTGCATTAAACAGCAAAGGTCAAATTCGTGAGCTAACGGTCGAACGCTCCATAGCTGCGGTGCGTCCTGAATTCCTCTGTCATATCTTATTAACTCAATATTGACGATGGTGCAAGCGAATGCTATATTTAGCGATATCCTGTCAGGGCGCATGGAACCGGAGTTCACATGCCATAATTATGACCACAATGTACATAGGTACGTCTATACTTTTGTACAAATATCGGCTGGATATCAAGTCAAAGATGTATGTAAAACTAGTTTTATTAGTAAACATGATAATGGTAAACTCGTGGCTTATATTATTTTAATTGTAAATATTCTTAAGCATAATTTATCAGAACTGATTGTTCACTTATTTAACTGTTTATGAAATAATGCATCATTGCTGTAGCAATTGAGGCTTAAGAGATTTGTTGGCTTTTGACCTGGTTGTAAAATTCACTATAGGTTGTTGAAAACCTGTTTTGTTTTTGTGCTTGTTTCATTGTGCTCGTGAGTGGTAATGCGCGCGCGCATTTTAGGTTTAGTCTTTTAGTCTGTGACTGATTGTGTGATTGTGTCAGTGAGTGTTCGCGCGTCTCGCGGGCTGCTTGTCAGTTGGTTGCGCGAAATTTTCTTCGCCCGTGCGTTGTGATTTAGTGATGTTTAGACGTTCTAATTTACTCGTTTAATTCTCATTCAAGAGATCTCGTGCTCATCCCGTGACTAATTTTATTATATCGTAATATGGTAAGTTGGAATACGTTCAGTAAAAATTGTAAGAGCGAATGGAACTAATTTTACGGTTTTTATAGCGTTAAATTTAAATCATTTACTTTTGATTTTACGAGTATTTTACAATACTCATAGGCAGGGCTAACTGACTTCAATGTTATTTTGTTGTGGAGCAGATAATTGTGTGGTCCAATCTACTCTGGAACATGACCCTCTCTAGTATTAGGTGTTTAGGACATTTTCTCTTTCAACACTTTTACTGTAACTTAATTTTTCTCAGTATTATTTGTGTTTATTGTGTTTATTGATGTTAATGTACCGACAAATTCTGCGATAAAATATTATTTAATTGTATATTTAGCCTTTGACATTAATAGAAGAGATAACGTTTTAGTACCTTTGATGCAAATAAATTGTTTATTAAAACTTAAAGTGTATTTTTAGAATACTGTTAAATTGAAAATTGCTATTTAAAATTATTGCTTAATCTTATTCCCTTGCCTTTGATAAAATAATTTTAATACCTTAATCACAGGTTATATTACAGTCCATTATAAAATATAAATGTGTTAGCGACGACCTAGGCAAAAAAATGCCCAGGGAATGGACATACAATACAAATCCTTTTAACCCTGCAGTAAAGTGTAAAATAATTTAAAGTACGGTCTTTACGTGCCAATACTTTATTTGCCTATCTTTTTGATTTATTGAATAGGTAAACATAAATATATAATTAAAAAAATTTACCTGCGAATCGATTATTTTTTTTAATTTAATAATTAAATCAAATACTAACATTTCTTTTTCTAAGCAACATAACTTGTCTATGATCTGAACCGAAAAAAAAAACGTATATTTATGTATGAAGTTTGTCATTTTATTCAATTAGATATATTTCAGCATTGCAAAGTCTAGGATATTGCAATATTGAGAGTGTACGCGTGTTTCACAATTTAATGGTAATCAATACTGAACCGTCTTTACGTAAATCTATTTACTTTTTTTTGTATGAAATTTGTACATTAACGAAATTTTGTTATCTATGCACTACACGCGGAATAAATTAGTTAGTTACTATTGTATTTTGACCTTGATGTGTGATTTCCTGATACGAAAGCCTTAGAGGAAATTCTAAACATTTCTTAATTAACATTTAGTAATCCATAACTATACACATAATAATTACATTCTTTCTGAAAGAAAACATAGATAACAGTTGGAACTCAAATCTAACCTTACTTAATTTTTTTTATAATTAACTCAAGTAGTAGTAAATTTAGTTTACAAGAAATAATCTAGTTTTGGAACATGACAAAGGAAATTGATATAGAGTGGTCCGGCCGTCGCAATATTGCGCTTATGTTCGAATAAACTCTGCGATTGGTTAGCCAGTTGTCCTCATTAAATGTTGCTCAAAGCCCTTAGTTGTGCGTTCAAATCTATTTCATACTGGCGATACAACCAAACGTTGTATTTGCTCTAAGTGTGAATTTTAATAAAGGAAAACTGAGAATTTATGACATAAGTTTAAGTCTGGATGTCTATGCAAAAGTTCAATAGTCTGGGTCCTGATTCAACTGATCAGGACAACTAATTAACTTTTGGTCAAAATTTACTAACAGTCCATTATTAAGGATTTTTGAAGGCATATTTGGTAAAGGTTTAGTTCCTAATAAAGATGTCATACCAATTTGATGAAAAGAAGTCTGTAATGTGACGTGCATACATAAACAGTATAATGAATTCTTCCATAAAATTAAGTATCTTTGATTAAACAAAGCTTTGTGGAAAACAATAGAAATATTTAGGATTACATTAATTATTTTGCATACTATAAATAATAAACAAACAGAACATTGTCGTTGTGCGTATATTCTTTGTGTTCTTTGTCATCTTTTCCACTGTTTGCATACAATAAATTTGTTAGCAAAAATACTACGGCTGTTAGTATCTTATATTCACAAATCTATTTCACGATGTTAATATTTAATTTACCATCGTAGTAATATCTTACTAATATTACAAATGCGTTTAGATAGAAGGCTCTACGGATATCTCTAAAATTTTGACATAGATGTAGAACATAGTCTGAAAAAATGCATAGGCTACTTGTTGGCGATGCAATAATCCTTTTTGTATTTTTATTTTTAATCCTTTTTTTAAAATAAGAATGCATATTTTTTTTATTAATTCTTTTGTAAATATTTGAAGCAGTGTTCGATCAGATGTCACAACGCTAGGCTGAATTGTACATATATTTTTTAATTTGTAAATTTTATTAAAAGTTGTTTAGTTTTGGTTTATTTCTTATTTATTTTACTCGCGCGTACCTTCCCGTACAAGATCGTCTCTTTCACTACTTTTTTTTAAATATCGCGTGGACGAAGTAATGGGTACCATCGAATTGGCTATAAAGTACGTTTCTACTTTAATATGTGCCACAAGGTCCTGGTTCTTTTCCAAATATTTTCCTTATATAAATAAAAATAAAGTTACTCAGTCCGATTACAGATTTCCTAAAACTCGAAATAAACTATGACAAATACGGGTCTGTATATTTTGCGTATGCGCACATTGTGGTTTTTGCACGATATCGCACGACCGGGGCTTTCCAAGGACAGGATTATGATGTAAAGTAAATTTAAAAAGACTTAAAAAAAGAAAGTTTATGTCTCGTTTCTATTATACGCTATTATCTACATTTTTATCGCTAGCCAGACGATAAGAGATTTTTATTACTATTTAATTGGTAATCATACTTCATACTAATATTATAAATGCGAAAGTTTAGATAGATGGATGTTTGTTAGAGTTTGTAACCTAAACGGCTGAACGCATTTCGATAAAATTTGGTATAGATGTAAAGGGTAGTCAGAAAGAACACATAGGCTACTTACTTTTGTTTTTTTTTTTAGTCGCGGGCGAAAGCTAGTTAAGATTAATTGCTGCTGCTGTATATATTAAAACTCGCCCTATTTACACAACAATGCTTAATAAATAAACCACATCAGGATCAGGGATATAAGGATGATCTTTTTTTTTCACTTAACAGTCTTAAGTACTGAATTTTTAAACGATTTATGAAATCTAATTTTTTATAACCTAACATGACAATGTTTTGATATTTTTTTATTACAGGCGCGCACGTTTGTAATATTGTTGTCACTAACACTGATGGGCTGCCTCACCGAGTCTTCCCTCTACACGCCGTTTGTACCTAAAACATTCAATTTGGAAGAAATCGTGCCTTTACAAGCCGATTTTTATCCAGAAAGGGTGCAAATAAATTGGATCTCAGGTAAGTGTTTTTTTTAGATATTGTAATACACAAAACCACGGATGTCTAAGTTTTAACGTAACCACGAACTTTCAGTTACAGTTAAAAGCCGGTTTCTAAAACATGTCTTATAGCTGTTTATATTTAACGATTGTGTTTTTATCAATGTTTTATTTATTTTTTGACTGTTATCAAATAAGTTCTCAAGTTGTGTTGCTAATGGATATTACATGTTGAAGCATCTTTCGTTTTACATTATATGGGTTTATGCTAATTCAATTTGTCAAGATCTTGACATACTTTCGTGGATTTGTTAAAACACTTGTATATTATAATAATTATATTTACCCTGAAAAAAGAGGTGCAGATGCTTTATTTTATGCGGCTATTGGTTAATTTTTTTAGTACTTTTAATGTTATTAATGTTAAAATTACTTGAAAACATTCTCTTTGGTCCTAAACTCGTTCTGAAACATGCAAGTTAACTGCAGTCGTTTACCTACATATCATCTTCGTATCAACCTTTTATTCATTAATAAAAAGCGTACATAAATAAATATATGATAAGCAATTACTTTTATGTCAGTATAAAATTGATATACCAAATATAAAAGGAATTGAATTGAATTCTTTATATCGCATGTCTCGATATAACTGTATGTAACGATTTAAGTCGCTTGTGAGTTTTTATGACCCGCGAAGGAATGCATTTTGTGAGTCTACAAGATCCGTTACAATGTTTCCTTGAAGGACGATGTTTGACTCATGTTGAATTAACCTAATTTTTTAAATCGTGTATTTCCCGAACAATTACAATGTTTATTTTTCCATGCACAAGAAAGGAAAGACCAGTCAATTATAAAATACGTATCTATTTGTCTTTATCTCCGTCTTTTTTATTTAAATGGAAGGTAATATTATGCTATTCAATCAATGTTATAATGCATTTTATTTATTTTCAGATACAGAATATATAGTAAGAGAACATCATAAGGATTTTAGAAAATATGACGCGGTTACTGACACTTTTGTTACTATATTAAATGAAAGTGACTGGGTAAGTAGTTTATATTTTGTATTTACTTGTATCCCTTTGATTGTAATTCTTACTATGGTTACTCAGTATCTCTCTAGCCTTATACCAGTCATGTAGGGTTGGCACAATGTTTTAATGTTTTGATTTAATTTTTGCGGTCACCCTGCCTGTCGTCATTTACTTACCATCACTATTGCTCTGTTTCTTAAAGATTGTATAACAATTTAAGTAAACCAATAAGAGTAGTCAATATTTAACTAAGACTTGTGACATGCAGGTCTTTTGAAAGTTTTACATTGTCTAATAAACCTAAAGATCTGCCTAAGTAGAACTGGGTCGAGAATGACGACCACAGGCGCGTTATTATAGTGGCGACAGAAAAAACACGTTGCTTCATAATTGTGTCTTAAGATTTTTATGTCTATTTCCTATTAGAATTTCAACTTTGTGTAGACTATCTTGTAAAATTAGTCAGTAATAATCGTTTTTGTTTTATTGGATTTTTAAAACCAAAATACTTACCGATTTGAAAGTATCCACAAAAAAATGTGCGAAATCTCTTGATTATTGCTAAAGCAAGTATTGGAAATGTATATTTTGGTTTACAGTTATCTTTTTTATCACAAAGTTATTGATATCCGTGCGTATTATTATGATGCAGAATAAAACAATGTTTTGTCATGAGAGTAATTTGACGCGGTGAGAGGCTGATAATAATCCAGAAAGCTTCCCACAATGTAATCTGCAGTCATTCAGTACAATTCAAATTGAATACCTTTTGTTCGCAGTACAATTTGAACCATTATGCTGTGTCGTCGTACTCAAAAGACTTGAATTATTTTTTGCTGGCTGCTAACATGACTAAGGTACGTAATGGTTTTACCACATACGGTTTAATCTTGCTGAATTGTCCACTTGAAGAGAAGTGAACACTTAATTGTATTTAACTATATGCAGTCGAGGAAATATATTTCCTACCCATTTATTTTGTACCTTGAGTAACATTCGACCTTAACTACAAAGTAATTCTTTGACTGTCCTGTACCGAAAAGTCGTAATTTAATGTATAAATAGACTCAGATTTTTAGTGAACTCTTTTTGGTATTCCTTGGAAAAAATGTCTAATTTTTAGCGACTGTACAACTTTTTTGACTGCTTATAGGACTAAATAACGTTGTAAAATTAAAAGCTTTTAAACATTTTACTATCCTTTAAGACCTTTAACAAATCGTAGATGCCTTAGTAATAGTTAAATGGCAGGTCAAGGTAAATATAAACAAACAGGAGCCTACTTTTGCAAATACCAATATTTGTATTGCGGCCAATTTTAAATTAGTCACGTTGTTATGAAGGCCTTAAAGTACATTATTGGAAAATTATACGAGTACAGACATACTCATATTCTTCATAATGTAACTGTGGGGATATTTTACAAAAAAATGTTTTTGTAGCTATTTAGCAGCGGAAACCGATGTTTATAATATTTCTACCTTTATTTGGTAATAAACGTAGAGAAAAGCTGGAGTTATTGTTGTTTGTAATTATTGTAAGAGCACAAACTCATTTTAAAAACATTGCATGGAATTGGAGAGGATTTTTATTTATCTTTGTTAAGTTATCGCTTGACTACCTAAGCAAGAAGAAAGTAACTTATATAATTCGGAAAGTAGAGTATGGTAATTTAAATCTGTATGTTTTCATTGTTCCAGGTGTACCGACATTCGACTCTAGCTGACTATTACGTTTATGACATCGAACTAAAGTGAGTTAAAATATAACTAGGTAATAATTTCATTCAACGATTTTTGGATCTTTGAAACAGTTTGAGATTCTCGGATTTTATGAGATAATTTAATTAACTATGGTCTTAAATAAATTGTATGTTTTTTTTTAAAAAAACAATTTCTTTTAAGTGAATTTGAAATGTTTTTTTTTAAATTACTTAATGGATTGCCATAAAAAATATTTTTTTTTTACCAATTTCAACAAGAGGAAATAAAATAGATGGTTACTTTTATTTTTTAAATCGATATTGCGGAATTTGGTAACTATTTTCTGGCCTCGTTATTCTTAATGTCGTATTGGTGCATACTGATTACGCTAAATCCAAAAACAGTTAAAAAAATGTTTAAGTTGAAAATAAAAAATGAGAAATGCAATAAACTGTAATCTTTTTATGTTATGTTTTTAATAAAATTGAACACTAGCATATACGAACACTTTAGTAACGGATACGCTTTTAAATAAAACATTATTTAGTTTCTCTTCAGTACAAATGAATTCATGATTAGTGTCATGGTTAAATATTGAATATTAAAATATACAGTTCCAGCTTATTAAAACATTTGATGCAACATTTTTTGTTTTGAATTTTGTTGTTAGTACGCTCATGTTTATATACTAAATTATGATAGACGAGACGACGGTGTTTGTTTATTTTAGTATCCTTAGAAGTTTATAGAAAAGGGTTAACTAAACATGAAACAGAAACAACTTCAAAACAGATTTAAATGTGATATTGTATTAGTTTTAGTAAAATCTTAAATAGTACTTATGCGTTTTTTTAGGACTAAAACTAAAATAGGGCAAGGGCGGACGCAGGTGGTGGTATGGGGTGCGGGGGATGCTCTGGCCTACGTGGAGAACAATAACGTGTACTACATCCCTAACGTCGCCCGTCCTCATATAGTTACCGCGCTAACGAGCACCGGCATCCCGGGGGAACTCTACCATGGGGCGACTGACTGGATATACGAAGGTAGGTCATTGATGTTGCTGCAGGCACACGTGTGTAACAAAACATGTTGAGAAACAACGTTTTATAGATGTAACATACAAAATAATAAGCATTATTATATTAAAGTTACTAGCTGTTGCTCGCGGAGAGTCCCCGTAAAATAAAAAAATGAATAAAAAATAGCTTATGTTACTCATTGATAACGTAGCTTTTTGATGGTGAAATAATTTTTAAAATCAGCCCAGTAGTTTTTGAGTTATTTCAATACATACAAAAATACAAATCTTTCCTCTTTATAATATTAGTACAGATACTGTCTAACAGTTACAGTAATGAAAATACTTAAAATAACTTAAAATTAACACGTATATTTTACATGTTTTAATTTTTTCTACAAAAATAATGTTCCATTTTTGTCACATTTCTAAAATGTAAACATAATTTAAAATATTATTATGACTTGCTAAATAAAAACTTGGTCAACTATTTTTTCGTTTCCGTTTCCGTTTCTAAATGCGTCGCTTGAAGATTCTTAAGCAAACGTACCGCAAAGCAAAGGATTTAAAAAGTCTTTTCAACTTTCTTTAAGGAATTGCACGTTATTTTTAACTACGTTTTTAGTGAGACCTGGGAAAATGATAGAGATTTTTGCACTTTAAATGTGAATGTGACAAAAATCCTACAAAACTATAAATATATATTGTGGAGTAACATAATATGTAACTTACCTTGAAAATGAAAGACTAGTAGCATTATCATGGCTTCGAATCCGAACTAATGGATATAAGACTTTTGTCTTGGATATATCTAATACTAGCTATTGCTCGCGACTTCGTCCGCGTGAAATAAAAAATATAGCCTATGTTACTAACGGATAAATTACCTTTCTAATGTTGAAAGATTTTTTTAATTCGGACTAGTAGTTTTTGTAGATCTAAAGGACGTCGCCCTATGCGTTGGACGGACCAAATATGCACCACTCTCAACACAACCATTCATAACGCCATACATGTCGCAGAGAATCGCACAGAATGGAGAAACACCCTTCGAGAGAGAGCCAAGGAGAGTGGTCGCGACCCTCAGGAATGAGGAAACGATCCGGAGAGAGAGAGAGAGTAGTTTTTGTGTTAATTCAATACATAAAAGATCCTTCCTCTTAATATTATTTAGATTATTAGTAAATTAACTATGTTTTTACAATTAATCAAAATCTGCTAATGTGTAATTATTATAAAAAAATTAACTTAAAACTTACTTGTATATTGAATAAAGTATAACATAATAGCAACCGCGTACAGCATAGTTATTAAAGGCTGACGAGATTAGAAGCCCGCTGTAAAGCTGCGGCTTGTTGGGCGGATGTTAAAACTTTGTTCTAACTTAATTTCAGCAATAATTCAACATGTGACAGCGCGACAGACACTGGTTAAAGTTATCACAAAAGTTAGGATACATAAAATGTATTTAATACGAAATCTAAACACTTAGATTAAATAATTAAGTAATATTTGACAAATAAGGCCTCTACGTTATTTATGTCCATTAACATCTTCATTCCAATAATGATTTTTCTTAATTAACGCATATTACTGATGCACTCAAATCTTGTAAGAGTCAGTCAGAATCTTTAAAGGGCAACTAAACGCTGCAGTCAGCGTTGATAAAGCAGTCTTAATTCATATTTAAATGACTCGTATTGTGGAAGTAATAAATTAGGAACATCTGATTCATTATCTAACCATAACAAACCGAACTAGTGTCAAATTCGTGAAGCGTTGTTAATCTATAATTGGAATCATATTACAGAGGAAGTGTTCAACGCGCCCGAAGCGCTGTGGTTTTCACCCAACGATTCGTATCTCGCCGTAGCTTCCTTTGACGACAGAGACGTGGAGTCCGCAATCTACCAATACTACGGCAATCCCAGCGATATTGATAACCAATATCCACAACTTGTTCAGTTTAAATATCCCAAGGTAAGTTACATTCGTATTGGTCTAACATGAGTGAATGTGTTGAGAACCTAGTTGAGAGATTTTAATGAAAATAACCACTAAAGTTTTTTATGTCCTTTTCTGTCGTCAGGTAGGTCGCACAAACCCAGTGGTATCTCTTCGAGTCTACAATTTAAGTAATATAGAAAGCGATCCCCTTTACATACCAGCTCCAGTCGATGTTATTGGTCTAGATCACATATTAGGCAGAGTAAACTGGGCAACAGATCATAATTTGATAGTTCTCTGGTTGAATAGAAGACAGAATGTCAGCATTCTTATTAACTGTGATCTAATTAATGATAAATGCAGCATGATTCAAGAGCATACGGAGAGAAATGGTTGGATCGATATACCGAATCCGTATTTCGATAGCACTGGAAGTAGAATGCTTGAAATTCAACCAATGCTCTTTAATGACCAAAGGTTTCCGCATGCAGCTCTGTTTGACTTCAATACATTGGCAACGACAGATTTGAGTCCAGGGAATTCTACAGTGACATCTATTGTCGGATGGAATGATGAAACGGATACAGTGTATTACATCGTATCGCCTTGGGATCTACCGTGGCAGAGACAGCTGTGGGCGACGTCGCAAGGCGTCAGCAAATGCATATCGTGTCGGGATCCGACTTGTCGTAACGTTGTCGCAGATTTTTCACCAGAAGCTAGTTACGGTATCATGTCATGTAGCGGAACCAATTCACCTCCAGTGACTTATTTATATAATGCTAAGGTAAACTATTCAAATACCTTTAAACCAGTTTTATTTTTTAAATCGATATGTTTAATTGATTTGTTATATTGCAGACAAATGGATTAAAGATAATCGTTTATAATAATGAATTGAGTGAAAAGTTACGACGATATCGTCTACCGATGGCTTTGTTCAACTCCATCGCGCTGGATGAAGATATAGTGGCACACGTAAAACTGCTACTTCCACCTGAAATGCAAGAAGGGAAGAAATATCCTATGGTACTGAGAGTTTACTCTGGGCCTGGCACAACTAGAGTAAAGGATAACTTTAACTTAGGTACTTATGTATCTCTTTAATGTTTTATTTTTAAATTTGAATAATTGGGAAATTTTCATATTTTAGATTTTAGTTTATAGTATTACTAATTGTAATGTAATGTTTGATTTCAAGAGTACTACGCGTCATATCTATCAACGAATAGAAGTTTCATAGTAGCATCGATAGACGTGCGAGGTTCAGGCGCTATGGGCGTGGAGGCGATGCACGCGGTCAACAACGCACTCGGCACCGTCGAGATAACCGATACTTTGTCAGCGCTTGAGTATGTATCGCTAATTAAAATTAATTGACTCGCATACACTGATGTCTAGCTGACTTAAGATTAATTTAAGTATTTCTAGAAAGGTTATTTTACGTTTCATTTTAGCTTATGTATATTTAATCTCTTGAGATAACAAATTAAACAATAATCGAACTACTTTATTGTTTACATAAGTTTTCCGAAATGCTATGGTAATTGTATCTGATTTTTCAGAAACTTAAAAATATTGTAGAAAGCAGGTCTAAAACTACTATTACTTATTGTATTAAGTGTGTTTTTCTTTTGTAGACGGTTGATAAGTATTTACCCCTTCATCGACCCGGATCGCATCGGCGTGTGGGGCTGGAGCTACGGGGGGTACGCATCCACGATGATGCTTGTAAAGGACGACGTGAGATTATTGGCTTGTGGCGCTGCCGTCGCGCCTGTCACCTCTTGGCTCTACTATGGTATGCATTTGTTAATAGACCTATCGTCATATGAACTTTAAAAAATGTAACCAAAATTTTGAGTTAGCTTCAAACGGTGTGAAGAAAATTCAATTCAGAATTTGTTTGTATGGTTTTCACAGATATGTAGAAACATATTTTTTCAACAGGTTGAGAGATAACATTATGTTTATTCATGTCCTTCGGTAAATTACTACGGTGATAGAATTGTGTATTACAATAGTGAAACGATAAACGTAAATATTTAGTTTTCAGTATTAAAATGCACGTTCGCGAATGACTGAAAGCGGACAAATGCAATAATATTAATTTTCTCGGCACGTATCCTTCGAGAGCTCATCTTGTCTTGCAGTGAAAATAGACAATGAATTGGCGACAACAGTGACATTCGCGACTTGGCCAGACTTCCAGTCTCCGAGCTTACAGAATATATCGTTAAATATTGTTTAAATTGCGCCTTTAAAACCATCATTAAAGAAATTACATTGTATGGGAAATATAATTTTTAGGAAAATTTATTTTACTAACATACTTGTATGTCTGGATGATCTTAAATGATAAAGAGGAGAAAGGATGAGTTGTTTATTAAATGTCAACGAATAAAATAGCATAAAAACTACTAAATACTGTATTGGAATCAATTTAGTCTGTGATCAGGTGTACGCGATCTTCTATGCATTTGTCTCATCATAAAAGAATAATTGTTAAGAAGCATTCGATAAAAATTATTTGCATTTTAAACGTTTAAGCAAAGTACATGATATATTCGTAGTAGTAACATAAAATGATTATGTAACATAACAATATCTTCTAAATATCTTTACGTTGTCGTACATTTGTAACGATTCAATTTGAATATTTTGGTAACTTGGTCTATATCTTTATTACAAAATTTGTAAACTTCCTATGCTAAATCAAACCAATCAATACCAAATCTTGCAGATTCGATATACACGGAGCGTTATATGGACACGCCACAAGCTAATCCGCTGGGCTACAAGCAATCGGACCTGCTGAGCGCGGCGCAGAGCCTACGTGGCCGGCGCTACTTGCTGGTGCACGGCAGTGGCGATGATAACGTCCATTACCAGCACAGCTTGCAGCTCGCCAAGCAACTGCAGCATGCTGATATATCTTTCGAACAATTGGTTAGTACCAACATTAAAAAAGTATCGCTAATATCTGTAAATATGTTGTACCAACCTAACTAATGTGTGGTTTTTGTAATCGAATTGTTATACAATTTTGAAATTAGAGGCCAATCGTCGTTAATGAAGATGTACGGTGATCAACTAATCATCTCTAAATGTTAATAATTCGTAATTGACAAAATTCTTTTTCAGAGTTACACTGATGAAAATCATTCGTTAGCGGGAGTGAGTCGACATTTTTACCACGCACTCGATCATTTCTGGACGGAATGTTTTGATCAATAGTTATAAGTTGTATGTTAATTTATTACTTTGTAAATTACTTAACATGAGATGCAAAAATCAAGACTGCGTGAATGTGTGTTCCGTTGTTTCGTGTACAATAATCATAGTTGGTTGAATAAACACAATGACGAATGTCGAAATAATGCTGTAAGTTTAATGCGGATAAGATTAAAAATTAAATTAATTTATAAATTAGTTTGTTTTATTATAATTACTCCTTTATTATAAATCTATTTAAATATTCAATACCTAGTAATGTAGGCAAGAAGCGGTACATGGTGAGTTGAGAGTTTTATTATAATCAGTAAGAATCGTAAAAAGATACAGGAAATAGCATATTGAACATGAAAATGTTAGACAAGTTAACTTTAATTGCGTCAAAGAAGGTTTTCTTACCTCATTAATAGAATCAGAAATCACGTCAGCTTAAAGTTTCTATATTCTGTTTCACTTCGTCATAGATAAATATTTGACAATGTCATAACAAATTCAGAAAATAAGATAATAATTTGAATAGTGTATTTTGGATTGTTATTTAAACAAAATTTTCAATGCTAATTTCAAAATCTCTCAGTTTTCCAATCGAACAATGGGGGAAAATATTTATGAGACGGTATAGTTATAAATAAATATTATTTAATGAACAATATTAATATCAAAATACACATTTTTCTCTTTGATTTAGACAATAATATCGGTAACAACAAACAAATTCACTTTTGTCACAAAGAATTGTCTAAACTATATCGTTACTTACAACATATACTTACGAAAGCGTTCATACACTTATAGGATGTCGGATAACAAAATTTACAATTGCGGCCCTATACTAGACGATCGAGGGATATGCGCAATAAAGCCTTGTGACTCTGAAATATGCTATCCCCAACCGAGAGTTATCATCATAGGCGCTGGCATGGCAGGGCTGTCCGCAGCCGCCAGATTAGCAGAACGGGGCATTGACAATATTGCCGTACTAGAAGCCAATGAAAGGTGAACATACCATGGAAGTTATTGGTATTTTTATGTGAACTTTATGTAGTTTCTTTATCATCATTTTTACTTATTTTCCAGACCAGGAGGTAGAATTAATTCATGTTGGCTCGGTGACATTGTGGCAGAACTCGGTGCTCACTGGAGGCCTGACAATTGCTTCACTCATCTAGTTCATTCATTAGCTGCGTCAGAAAATCCTCCCCGCCCCGGGGTGCCAGGTGCTCTGCATGCAAGAGGACTCTTTAATAGAGCTGTCACCGGAAAAATGTCATTTCCTCCTACTATCAGTGCATACTACAAGTTTCGGCAGATAGAGGAAGAGGCAGCACAATTATATTGTTTGGGTGGGAACAAGCAGCAGGGATCTTTGGTAAATTTTATGAGTCTTCGAATTCAACAAGAGCTCCATGAATACCCACTAGAACAGCAGGAGGATGCCGCTAGAATAATGTTTGGACTCGCACATATAGTAAGTTCCCGATGCGCTAGCGATACCGCATTACTTCGGGCAGATCACTCTTGTTGTTTTATGAACATGCCGGGTGGAGATGTAAGAGTACCGTTAGGGTTGATAGCCACTTTAGCACCGATCCTTCGACAAATACCGGAGGGAGTGATACGGTACTGTAAACCAGTCAGTTCCATCTACTGGGGCACATCCCAAAAAGCGGGACATCGTGCTATAGTTTGTGCGTGCGACGGAGAAGAATTCCCAGCAGACTATGTCGTAACTACGGTATCCCTAGGTGTGCTAGGTTGCAACGCTGGGCGTTTATTTTGTCCGACACTATCGGCCGCGAAAATAGACGCAATGCGATGTCTTGGATACGGTTATTGTAATAAAATTTTCTTAGAGTATTGTCGTCCGTTCTGGTTTTGGCATAAGGGAGATTTAAACTTTAACTATCGTAATAACGAACTTTCCTGCTATTCGAACTGGACGAAGGGTATTACGGCAATAGAGATTGTGCCTAGCAGCAATCGTGTAATATGTGTGTGGGTTGCGGGTGAGGAAGCCATGGCAATGGAATGCATGTCCGACAAAGACGTGGCCGAAGACGTTACAGATGTACTGCGATGCTCGACTGGTAACCAGTGCCTACCATATCCGGTCACATTGTTAAGATCGCGGTGGATTTCTGATCCCTTCTTCTGCGGATCTTACTCTTACGAAGTTGAATGTACTGCTGGAGAAGCTCAGAGAACTTTGGCATGTCCTCTACCGGGTCCCGGTTCTCCTATACCGCCTATCCTTCTCTTTGCTGGAGAGGCCACCGTCCCTGGTCACTTTGCTACTGTGGCAGGTGCTAGAATAAGCGGCATTAGAGAAGCCGAAAGAATTGTCCAGCTTACAATGAGATACAAAGGTCCACCTGTACCAGTAGAATGTCGACAAGCAAGAGCAAAACAAGCATAAAAATATAACCTTTAATTTAGCCTCACATTCTAAATTTATTAACTGTTTCCTTTAGACTTTGTATTGCAAGTTCTAATTATGTGATAAAGTTACCGCACCGCATTCCTTTTAAATAGCTAGTTTTCCATTGAATTTTCGTTGCAATCTCTTTGTAACCGTTGGCGTTAATTAAAATAAAGCTCAAATAGTGATTTCTCGTGTTTTACTTTGTAAACCAAATAAGTTACAAAAATAATGTTGTGCATATTAAAATTTGACTATTTTTCACTTATAGTATTGTTATTGCTATATAAGATATTTTAATATAGATTCTATCAACTTTACCAAGCAGTGTCAGATAAAAATGGATAGAGGCAAGCACATCGTCGCTTCCACGCCACCGCGGAAATTGCCGAGTCGCGAGAATTGGCTGTAAATTATTTTATGATATTACAACCCATACTTTCAAGTGACACAAAATAATTCAGTACTTTATTAATAAATATTATCTTAATAATATTGTAAAAGCCAAAGCATAGATGAATAAATGCTTGGTGGAGTTTGCCACTTATACGGCTGAACGGATATCGGTGAAATTTGGCATAGATGTAGTGCATAGTCTGGAAGAACACATAACTTTTCTTAATTACGGCAAATAATTAATTATCTATCCATAATAAAGATTGTAATAATGGTACATCACTTATTGGGTTTCTCGTAATAATCTTCAACTAAGCAGTATTTCGACGTCTTACCTAGAGCCACATTCTTTGCAAATTATACATATTTCATTGACTGTGGTTTAGATTTGGTTTGTTCCTTGCATTTCCAATGGCATATTATTGACTTTGTAATCTTTATAAATATTATAAAGAGGAAAAATTTGTATTTTTGGATTTATGTACGTATTGAAATAACTCAAAAACTACTAGACCGATTTCAAAAATTTTTGCAACATTAAAAAGTTGTGTTATCACGGAGTAACATAGGCTTCATTTTTTATTACAGTTTCATTTTTTTTTTACTTCCATGCGGACGAAGTCGCGAGCAAGAGCTAGTGTTTTATATTCAGTTAATCGTTCTTTTACCGTTTTCCTGCAAAAATGATTTACAGCTTCCTAATACATCTTGGTGCTGTGATTTTTTTTCCTGTTTATATGAAAAAAAAAATATATATTAGCAGACAGAAATCAGTTAACGATGTTAAAGTATTATTTGGATTTACCATTAGACAAAATAAATTACGAAATAAGGGTAGCAATTTTCTATAACTCAATTAGTGCTAAGCCGCACGTTTAGGCAGGGAGAGGGCGTAGTCTTGTATTACTTCCATGGACCATTTTCATCGCGCCTGTGGTAAAATTAAAGCACTGTATCATTATTTCCACTGCTCGTGCAAAAAATGTTATCACTCTTCCCTTCGTCCTTGAAAAAATTATATTAAATTTCATACGGGTGATCATTTTAAATTCTGCGATATTTTCTGCACCATTTTTTGCAATCTGTTTTGGTTCGGAATGAATTTTACGGACGTTGTTTATTTATTGTTGTAATAGATTGGGTACGCGGTATAAATTCGGTGAGGTGCAATTTGAATGGACAGGGGATATATTATTCTCACCTAAAACATTTAAGAAAGTGGATTCTAATAATAAATTACATTTGTGTTTAAGATTTTATGGTTTACGATGCGATACTGATTTGAATTTAGCGTTGCCATAAACCCATTGGTTTGAATGCTCTCATCAATGAAGTAACCTAGTGTGAAAAAAATGTGGCCAAGCAATGCACGTTTTATGGGCAATTATATTTTATTTAACCTTGATAAATATAAAATTCGTAAACATCATAGAAGTATCTGTAGTGGTTCAAGGTAACGATAAGGCCGGGTGAAAGCGTAGCGACCGGCGCGCGCCTCGCGAGCCACACTCTGCAGATGGCTGATTGCGGGACAGCAGCGGGAACACGCAAGAAAACGTTGAGACAGATGCGTGACGCAGCGCGCAGGATCGGCGCCCCCGCCCCCACCCCGCGCAGTGCGTGCACACCCTCGCTCTCCCCGCACGCGCTGATACGCCGCGCTCGCACTTCGCTTCCTCAGAAAAAAACATCGATATTCGCGTGGTGCGTAGCCTGCAGCGTGGTGGCAGGTGGCGGTGGCGCCGCGTGCAGCGCTGCGGTGCAGGCGGTGAGCGGTGCGTGAGCCGCGGCCCGGGCGCCAGTCGCTCGCAGCACGCGGCCGGCGCTGGTCGCGTCTATTCGGTCCGCGCTGCCCTCTCTACGCCGCCCGCCCTACGTCACGGTGTCGCGATCGGGTGCACTCCCTCACACCCTGCACCGATGCTGGCGCACTAGGCGGCCTGCACACATGCACTTTTCATTCATCCCGGAGGCGGCCGCGACTCGCGATCGCTCCGCGCTCGGTTCGGTCTTATCAATTGCCCGTGCGTCTTTATGAGGCAGTGACCCTGAAGCCGAAGCAACTTGTGTAGTATCGAAGTGATCTACCCGAACTGGTAAGAGGGATGTTTTGCTTATAGTTTCCTAATTAATGATTATTAGAAAAATGTGCTGTCCGAGCTAAATAACATTTCGGCAAAGGAGGAGTGTATTGAGTTTTATCTCATAGGAGTTGTCATGAGGGAGAAAAGACCAGTAGTACTGGCGAGATGCCAAATACCGATGGCGCACATCTTTCAGTTACAAAATATTTTAGAAATATTGTGTTAGTCATTTAAATTAGGGACATTCTGATGGCTTGTCTTCAGTGTAACCGAAAAAACCGAACGACAAATAGTCCGAATTAGTCTTCTAGAATATATCGAATGTCTAGATATTATTTCTATCATCACGTCTTTGCAGCATTAACATCTGTGCAATGAAACGAAATATGCTATAAGAACAATGAAATCCCTCAAGCAGGATTTTTAAGCGTATTATGCCAGCATAAAATCTTGATATTCCTCTGCACAAGATACAAGTATAACATACATACATACATGAAAAGCTTAATACGAATTTGTTTAAAAAATTCCGATCGTAATGTGTAGAAATATGATTTTAACGTAAGGACTCCGTTGGAAAGTATGCGTCGTTTGTTCTTTAAAACGTCCTCAATTATGAAAAAATCTAATCGAGCAGGCTTTTTGCCAAGGAATCTTTGCCATAAAATTATCTTTACATATATGGGTGCCTCAAATATATTAGCATTATTGGATGTATCGTATAATAGCAAAATAGATTCTTAATTGGCCAAAGATCTTTGTAACAATACGTAACTTAAAATGTTTTGTTGCCAATGAAAAATGCCTAATGTTTAAAAGGAAAACTTCCTGATCTTTTTAAAATACGAAATATACAAGAAAAACACGTGCTAGATTGCAGAGCAATAACGTATAAATACGAAATGGAATTCGTATATAAATAGACAACGTTTATTTTGAGATGTCACACGTAGTCATTCCACAAACATGTAACAATTTAATTTTACTTTCCATTAATAATAATTGTCTAATATACTTTGCGCTTGAGCCTTTCTAGTGTTTTCTTACAAGCCGCTTATCTGAGGACTTGAAAGGTCAGTACGCTCTTTTCATGAAATTTCTCATTGCTTATACGATAATGATTGGTCTCGGGGTGACTAGGCGATCAGTAATTTCTCATTTTAGTTTTCTTAAACTGAATCTACACCAAGTGTCTTATTTAGTAACCTTTTGATTGCTCTAGGTTCGGCAATCTGCGCTGGTTTCTTTGGCTTTTTATGTTTTAATACCAGAGTCCTATTTTTGCATAAGTTATCGACTATATTTCCAAAGATTTATGTTAGTAAAATGTGGACGTCCTTCGTAAGTGTCCGGGCAACGTCAGGTTTCGCAAAGCCATTGATCTCATAAAATCTCTCCGCCTTTCAAATCTGTTCAATTCAAATTAAGATACAGAATTATGTTTTAGTACTTATCTTGATATTGTCCAAAACATGTTTTCACCAGTTATTGAAAAAATTGATTTAAAAATTGTGCCGAATTTGAAATTTAATTGATAATTCTTTTATTTATTATTCTCAGAATTAAATTGATCTGTTCTTTTTCGTCTTTTATTTCTATATTTTTAAAAAATGAATTCCGTTATTATAATTTCAAATAAGAAAATAATAGCTTAGTTGAAGTTTGAACAATTTCCTTTCAAACATAGCATTGTTTGTAATTTATTCCAAATTTATTCATTAAAGTGAACTTCTAATTTTCCGTTTCCCCTTACATTTGTTTTCGCCAGCTAGTTCCAGATTAATGAAATTATTCGAACGCTCTAACATCTGTGAATTAGTTAACTCGAATTTAATTAGCGTACAATGTGTATTCGGTTAATGATTTGAATCGACAAAATGATTATTTTCTGCTCATAAATATCTCTAATGAATCTACCTAAAGTATAGGCCTAGTCAACCACGCTGGCGTTGCGGGTTGGTTAACTTCATATATACCTAAAAAACATTAAATTATCTTAAAGATAAAAAATTTATAACTTTAAACTGTCGTGGTTTTAGCTGAACACGATTGAATTGTTTTAGCTCCCGATATTTCGACATAGATGCATGCGCCATGTTCGCTAAAACAATTCAATGTGGTAAAAAACCCGTATTTTACGAAATAAAATTTGAATTTCTTCGCAGATAGGTGCAGTTTGCATTGCGATGTTATCGTTCACCAAAAGACCTTCAGATAAATGTATACATTTAGAGAATCTAATTGATATTCGGCGAAGATTGAAACCTGGGTTTGTTATTGTAAGTCCTGCGCATTACTACTGAGACATCAGCCATCCTAAAACTAATAGGATTGGTTAATTGTCCTTTCAGTTAGTGTGTTGACGCTTAGAGCTTCTATCGGGGATGCAATTTCCCCGGCGTATAATTGTTCTCTAGGCGTCTAGGCTTTCCGTTATTACTCTGCCTAACAACTGACTTCGTGAATCGCTTACTCTGAAGCATCGTTTCGTGTTCAGAAAACGAGTTAGATTTAATTAAACCAAACATCTGTGGTACAAATTATTTTGGTTTATATTAAGGGATATTTATTATACTAATATTATCAAAAGGAAAGATTTGTATGTATTGAAATAACTTAAAACTATTGGGCTGATTCAAAAATTCATTTACAATTTAAAAGCTACGTTATCAGTGAGTAGTATATTTATAATTCACGCGGGTGAAGTCGCGAGCAACAGCTGTATTTTATAAAACTACCTTTCAAGAGATTAATTTGTAACGTATCTGTTTCAATTCTAATATTTTCGTTGCAACGATTACATTTTCAAATAAGGAGCGAGCGAAATATAATATTTTTTTTATGTTACATATTATTAAAAATGCTAGATGAGTTCCCCGCCACATACATGTTCGCGTTATTATCTTTTCCCCGGGTCTGACCCATTTCCGAGTGGCTTGGCGATGGCGAGCTAATATTCAAATAGATAAATCAAATGTCTACAGACTTTTTGCGTAGCGAAGATTGATGATGAAAATTTTTGGGAAATTCTTTGAGATGATATGAAGATATTGTAATACAAATATTAACGCCGGGTATGGACGGTAGATAACACAAGTCCGAATATATTACGTTGGATACTGTCTTGTCATGTTCTTGCCTTTGTGGCGATGTGTGCATAAGAAGTTAGGGCATAAATTAATAAGTTTTTTCACCTAATTTATAGCCTTGGACATTGCTAGGTGTACTGTTGTATTTATAAAATTTATTTTTGTTTCAGATTTTGGCCAACTAAACTTTTGAAAACAAAAACTCTAACGATAAAAAAAGTAAAGTATTTAAATCATAACGTAGTTAGTGTGTATGTTTGTTCATTAAAATTCTTAATTCTTAAAGTGCCTGATAGTGGATTAGTTGTAACATTAGGTTATTAACAATTTTAAAGATAAGTGACAGTGTTTGAGGAACATCACATTTTAGTGATAATTTGGTACATTAGTGTGGTGAGAAGAAATTCTAACCTACGGTGCTGCGGGTTCCGCAACTATGTTATAAAGGTAAGAGATTTTATATTTATATTTATATAAAATACGGTAATCGTCTAAGTATTTATTTTTTAATTTAATAATTGTTTTTCTAACTAAGTTAGATTGCACATTACTTCATGTTTATCTAATAGAAATGTTACTAAAATGTTAAGTTTGAATCTAGTTAAATAAATCTTAAATCATTTTGATTATTACTAAAAATCTATTCAGATAAAAATGTGGGTTCAAACTGGCTTTCTCCTACGATCGGATACATTCGGGATCTGTACTTAGTACTTTGTAACCAATTCCATTCGACTTCAGAACTGTAAATAAGATTTTTTATGATTTTAATAGCACTTTCATTCTATGAAATTGATTGTACAATTAATTCATAGTACATTTTGATCTTTCCATATCAGTAAAGATAGATTTATTCCTTGTCCGATTCAAGTTCCTATTTCGTTTAGCAATATTCCTCATATCAGTATGAATCTATTTCCTGTGTCAACTACATTCAGACATCTATTAATTTGTTCTTCTATTATTACTTTGGCGACAATCCAACTGAAGAGACATCGGCGTGGCCTTCGCAAAGGTTAATTATTTTAATTCCTATATTGTTTACATATTATATGATTTATATTTGCGATTAAATTATTTATTGTAACAGTTTTCACGGTCACTTAGAACTTTTAATGATACGTAAATGCTTTTTCTTTTTCTCTTTTTGTCAGTCCAATAAATTCAGATAAGTGGTTATCTTGTTAGACTTTTTGTTACTTTTGTACTCTAAGTCTATAAGCCGACGAGGTCTAAGATTAATTTCTTTAAATTTAAAAATATATTTTTACTCATTAAGATTGTTTAATGTTTAGTTTTTTCTTGCATCGATACTGGTATCTGTTATTTCCCCTAAAATATTAACCACATATTTCAATTCTCAATGATCTCTTCCACCTTATGTTTAATAGAGCATAAGTTTTACCAATGGATTATACTTTGTTTAAACGTTTTATAGGTTCTGCAACTCCGTATATTTATAATGTGTTATGCAGTCTTAAAGAATATTTAAAATGACTTCGCGGCCACGTATAGTAAACCTTGGCGGGGAAGTTGACCATTTATCATATTTAGAGTCACGTAAGGAGGTTGGGGCGGAATGGTCGCAGTGAGACGGCGTACTGCATAATGTTGCGCTTACGTCAACATAACTTTGTACTTAAACTAAGCTTGTCTTAGAACACATTTACATTTGCGAACTTTAATGTTAACATTCATATTTCCTAAGTTTGCGTGAAATATAATAAGAGTGAATCCGTATGAAATTTTGAGCAAGAAAATTGATCGTTAATAAATAACAATGGAAACAGTGACGACCAATTACGGCCATTAACAACCGGCAAATCACCTGCTACCCGAAAAACGATTAATCCAAGTGATTTATTTTATTGATAGTTCTGATTTCGTTGCGCCAACTGATTGCTCTATTGATTTGTTCCAATTAAATTTACTATATCTGTGCAATACGACGACTTCAACACTTTAATTGGATTCTACATTATGTTGCACAAAGGGATACCAATGGTAGTTCCTCTTCTAGATTCGCTGGTTAATGGCTTTTTTTTGGAATCATATTACATTGGACGTCTACACGTTATAAGAGTATCTTAAAAATTCAATACGTCGGTGAAGAATCTACACAATATCAGTATTTTTCTGTTAACAAGTAATAGAGGTACTCAGCGCAGATGTTGCAGTTAAATAAATAATATCCGTAGCCGCATTCTCTTACAAGATTCCCTTCGTACAAACACGTATGAGCACATGTATGTGCTTTTAGAAACATACTGGAGTGCTTCTGAAAGTTACAATGTTGTATTCTTCGAACTTAGCTATCCAATGGAACAGAAAAGTAGAACGATATTGCATTGGAAGTAATACAAACACGTTTCAAGAATAAATTCGTTGTCGAATTACATTTGTTTGAATTTGTTACTGTAATGTCTATATTTAATTATTACATACATTTTATATAATAAAATATCTACTACACCACGTGTATATTATAAATATATACTTTTTTCTTCAATATGGTATTTATATTTTTATATCGTGTGAGAACTCTAATTATATTTTGTAAGTTCTCATTTTAATTAGCGAGGAAAAGCGAGTCTCAAGCTAATTTGACCGTTGGTCGAGAGCTTTCGTAGCTGAAATTCAGTCGGCATTGAGCGAAAGAGGTTTTACATCCAAAAATATTTTTGCGTTTTGTTTTCATATCCTTTTTAAAAATATGTTTTAATCTGAACGTGAAATGTAATAAATTCCTATTTATTATTATTTACTAGCCTTAGCCCGCGATTCCGTCCGCGTGGAATTAAAAAAAAAACGATCATAGCGATCTGTCCAGCCGTTTTGACTACAAACTCTAACATCCATCCATCCATCCATCCATCCATCTAAACTTTCGCATTTATAATGTTAGTATGATATGATTAGTATGATTTCTGTGTTTCTAAATTCAGAGTTAACATGAATCGGAACTTTATTTGTAAGACCGATTTTATGTTTCTACTGAGCAACAATAATTTTAAAGCTAAACTTGAAGCTACAAAACTCGTTTAAATAATAATAAAATTATAGAAGGCAAGCAGCTGTGGTATGCGGTTTACCATAATAGCTCTTCCAGTATTCCAGAAAATAACAAGTTAAAAAATTAAAGACGATATTGCTAAAGTTTCAACTTTAGCCTAGTTATTAGTTCTTATTCTTTCAGTATTATGTCTTGAATTTCTTGAAATTAAATCTGGGTTTAAAAGTACTCTAAAGTTCCGGAACCTTGAATTGCTTTTTGGTACTTTTTATACATCCTATTTGAGATTGCTTAATGCAAATGTTAGTTTTATTTGAAGCGAGTTATTTAAGCTTGCTTCAGATAAATTTGTACGCTGCTCTCAATTTTATATGCGTTAGCCACATCTGTTAGGTTAGGAATAATTTTATTGTTCCTCTAGAGATTTAGTTATATATACTTTTGCCTCCGCATCCGACATGAAAACATTGATATCGTTTACTTTCAATTATTTCAATACTTTAGATGATTTGAATTAACATACTGTCACTAAAACTAGATTAATCTATAATGCTCGTAGACAATAGTTAAAGTCAAAGTATTAACACTTCTAGGAAATTGCTGATTTATGGCCAAAGTCAATTAATTTTGGAAGTTAAAGAATTTGCATACTATTGAAAACATTCTACAGCAGCCGTTGGCTTCACTCCAAGTCTTTTAGTCGCCCCGCATGTCTTAATTTAAGTAAAAGCGTTAATCGTTATAGACAATTGAAAATTAACGTGATTGCGTAACCAGATACCAATTTAACTAATGTTATCGTATCTACAATAACGTATTATGCAATTAACTTAGTCCGGCTAAGTTTGCCGGCACAGGAATCAGACTATGATAATGAAAAAACGTTACAATTTTATATCTCAGAATCTTTGTAAAATGTTTTGGTAAGTATGGAAATGAATGTGATAATCGAATAATAATAATTTCTCAACTGTTATTTACAAACCCGAATTTACATTAATTCCCGGCGTATTAAAGTTGAATGGGATGCCCTCACAGTACTTAGTAAACCAGAAGCAGTTTAATTCTCTAAGTGCATAAGTGGAATTCACTGAACGTTCTGCCAATTAGTCTTTCAGTGCAAGAAACAGGCTGCTGGGTGCGGTTTGGCATTCGCCGCGACCCCTTTGCTTATGCCAAGAGGAAATGAATATCACACTAAATGCAAGCCAAGTTTTTTGTTGCATTTATTAAAAATATAATTTACGCCTAAAACAATTTGTTTTGTGCTTACATGTTTTATTAAAAGTTTCTATAAATGCATGCGCCTAATGAAATCAGAGACAATTTTTATTTACGTTAATGATTTAAGAGCTAATTCAAAGTATGGCTTGGATATTTATGGCTCATAAAGTGGGAAACATTTAAGATTATGGGAATAGTTTATGCTTTCACAAAACGTTTAAGCATTATTATTAGCACAAATCGGAGTTTAAATGACTCTACCAGCGATCACATCATCATCTTCCCTACCTTATCCTACTCGAAAAGGTTCGGCACACCGGGTTTACGTCTTCCAAATAACTCTATCGTCCGTCATCTCATATAGCTTTCGAATTAAAAACATTATCATATTAAAGAGTGCTTTTAGCCAACTTTACATAAATTTCATGATTTTTGTATTTCAATTACATAATTAGTGAAGATAGAGATAAAAGATTAATTTAATGTTAATTAACAAGACAATCGGATTTTACGATCAATGAACAAAGACTGATTGAAGACAAAAGATTTATTTATTTTAGCTTTGAAGTTTCCGTAACATACTATTGATAATCATTGTAAAGTAGTTTGTTGGCCGCTCTCCAAATGTTCAGCCGACACTATGTGTAGTAATGAAGGTGAAAGCTTAAATCATTATTAATCACGTAAACTAAATTTTTCTTTGGAAGAAGAACGACAAGTTCTACTACAAATTTTGCCGCCCTCATGCCGCACAGTCTTGAAAGTTGTAGGAGAGGCCAAATGTATCTAAATATTGTCACTAATGACAAAATCATACATTATGAAGCCATAAAAATAAACATAGATATGTAAGCAAATGGACTTTTACTATTTTTAACCTTTACTTAACCAATCTTTAACCTATAAAAGATACATAGCTACCATACGTTTAACAAAAAAGTAAGAATGAAATTTCTTTTGTTACTTTAAATAACAAAAAAGGCCACTGGAGTCAGCACTTACTAAAACCAAGAACGCTTTATCGCAAAAGTGCATTAACACAAACATACGTGTGAAGCGGAATTCACTAAAAGTTACAGCAATTACTGGTTTCAAGCAAGAAACGCTACGAGAGTTGCGGCTTTGCGTTTCACTTTACGTTGCATTTATATAACGGAACTGGCTTTCTTAAGCCAAATTCACAGTTTTGTTGAAGAAACAATCATTATGA